TACTACTTTTGAAATGTGAATTTGTTGAGTAGATAATTCATTCACAGCTGCTTTACATATTTTACTTGGGCACTCCATGGAGAAATGCTAGATTCAATAATTTCATTGGCCAAAAGTTTGTTTATTTTGGTGTTAATAAAATCCAGATCATTTTGATTAAAGTGTTTAGAGGTAGTAGCAGTCAGTTTGAAGTTAGATGTAATATTTGGGGACAATGGGTGTTCCTCCATATTTGCAGCCTGTCAAAACAAGTTTTCATATCTCATAACAAGTTCAAGGAGATGCCTCTTAAAGCATAACAAGTTCAGAGAATATTATGACATTCATGCAGGAAGATCTGTAATTATGTTTCATAAATTTACATAAAAGATATTGATAAAGTATAATAAAGAACTATTTGAAATGCTAGGAAACCTTTATTGGGAACAATCAGCCTGCATGCAACTGAGTAGTGTAGAAATAGACTGGAAAATTTGAAGGTGTGGTGTCTTTGAGAAACTAAGCAAAGTGTTAGACATAGGAAAATTTTGTTAGAAACAAGTGTTGAAGTGCTATGTTATATCTAACCTCCTATATAGCATTGAATACAGGATAATCTCTTTGCTTATGAAGATCCTTGAAGTGACAGATGTGGTTCTATCAATGGATTGAATATGTGAGCAACTAGTAAAAGGAAAAGAACTAAAGGGATACTTGTATATCTAAAATCTTTGAGACACACAATGAGGAAAGAGGACTTGGAAATGTTTCAAAGGGCATTGAAATCAAGAGAAACAGTAACCCATTTAAACAAGTGTGAATGGATAGGACAGACAAATGGGGTTGGCAGAGTTAAGTAACTTAAAGCAACAAAAGATGTGAAGTTGTGAAAAGTCATGATCATTCATGCCCTGAAGTGACACAGGATATTTTCTTTTTTTTTTTTTTTTTTTTAAATTTTCTTTTTTGTCTGTAGGTTCTAAGATGAACAAAACCAATACAAATAATTTTTATATGGTTAGAACAAAAGTTTTTCAATAGGTGGTGTTTGAACATGTAATTCCGTTCCACATGTGCTGAAAGTCATGAAATATATACTTATTCTGAAAAGTGGCATTTCACTTCTGTCCAAATGCAACAAAAACAATCCATTTTTGAAAAAAACAATCACAGGCTTTGAAAAAAAAGATTCTTTGCAACAATGTGGGCATAAAAAGGTTCTGGGGAAAACCAAAATAAGCCACTATTAGCCACTCCAAAAGACTGCATCCACGTGGGTTAGGTGGATTGGATGAAAATATACAAAATAATTTGTCTTAAAAAGTTGAGTGGTTAAATTGGATGATTTTTTTATTTTTACATGCCAATAAATCTTTGTTTAGACATGTTACTTCTATTTTTGTCCTTCAAGCTTAATTTTATTTTAATCTTTTATGGTTGTAGTGTAATGTATATATAGTGAATAATCTGGAGGGTAGATTATTGCTGACATTAGTTCACATAAACAATAACATTGTAGAGCTCTTCTGAAATTGTTTTGTTACTCTTTACACATGGGTTTTCCATGAAATGCCATTTTTTTTCTTAATGTTGCAGGTATTGAAAGCAAGTTAGTAAAAAGAGGGAAAAAATTGAACAAATAAATAAGTGACAAGTTGTTAATTTGAGAATTCTTTCCATGTGTGCAGATGCTGTTTCATGTGCTGTTTAAATTTTACTTTCTCATAGTTGTCTTTATGATTAAGAAATTTGCTGGTATTTTCTAATGAAAAATTAATTTTTTTATAGGTTTACCAAGTATTTTTTTTTATTGCTGTTTCTTTTACACACACACACGGGTTGTGTTATCAAGGGGCAATCTGTATGTATTGCTTTGGATGTAGCAATAATTTTACCATTTCAACCAAAACTTGTAAACTGATTTGTCTCTCTCACATTTTTTCTTGTATTCAGAGCCATCCTTTGGATTAGAAAAGTCAATCAAAATTAACAAAATAGTTCTCAAAATGTAACATCGACTATTTTTTTTCATAAGTGTAAAAAGAAAAAAAAAAAGAGGTTCATTTGTAACCTAAAATATCTCCGAATTTGAAAAACAAAAGTAAAGGCCAAACCTACCTGCAGCAGAGATAAAAACTAAAAATACAACCCATTTATTTCAACTCTATTCACTTATTCAGTTTTTCGGCTTTTATTTTGACTGAGAATCTAAAAAATAAGCAAACAACACACAACATTGGTTTTCTTTAACCAGTTTGGAAATTGTGGTTTGATGCAAGACTTTTAGAATAGGTACCACAACTACGTAAAGTTTAAATTGAATTCTTGAAGTTTCATTTTAGTTTTAAATTGAAAGCTAAAGGATTTAAAATTTACAATTTCCAGTATGTAAAATGTTCTGTGATTTATTTTAAACAGAAATTATATTGATTGGAATTGATTTTCAGTAAAATTGATAAAATCTGCCATTTTTACACATTTGTAAATAAGTTAATTCTCGGTTTTAAAAATTTTGCAAAAATAAAACATTTCTGAAACGTTATTTGAGGAAAGTTAGAAAATTTAAAGTTAAATTAATCATAATCGGATATGAAGCAAATATTACTTTAGCATAAAAACGTTGTAAACAAGCATTTCTTAACCACAGGGTCTTGTTTTTCTGACGTATCGATCGATTTATCAACTGCCTAACGTGCTGACAAATATGGTGACACAAAATTGTTAGCAGATGATAAATTTTATATTCCGTAGGGTGGGTGGGTAACCCTTAATAAAACACGTGACCTTTTAATGATAATGTCATGTACGAACTCGTATACTTAGAAAAATTAAGACGTTTAAACGCAAAAATAATCGAAATTTAAAAAAAAAATACTTTGGGTCGTCAGATTGTAATAAATAAGCGTTACAATATGATTAAATATAGTTTTTACTTAGGTACCTCCATGAAATCGCTAAGAAAAAAAAAAATTAGTATACCCGACCGTAATGAAAACATGCTCCAAAAAACGTAATGAAAACAGTTTTATTGTCAAACAAGATCTGTTATTGAGATCATAGTATTTTTGTATAATTAAATATTTACTCCTTTTCAGAACATTCAATATTTTGAGAGAAAAACAAAAAAAACCCCCAAAAAACTAGTTTTCCATACCTCAGGGTATGTACTAACATTTTTAGCAAAGCAAATTTTAGCCTCCTTTTTGCGGTGACAGACGCATTAATTTGGAAGTTCTTGCAAAAATTAAGTAATTGTCGGATTTCAATTAAATTTTTAAAACTTATTCACAAATGAATGAAATGATTTTTAAATTTTTTTTATTAGAAAATCTTGGTAAATAATTACTAGTTTAGTATTTTGAAAATGTTAGTTTCTTTCTTTTCATATTTTAAATATATCATTTACAAAATGTTGAATTAAATTTTAGTTTTTACATAAAAAAAAAAAATGGAATTATAACGTTATTTTTAGCTTTATTTCGAATGCATGATTTAGGAAAGCTTTCATAATGAATCTTTACTTGTTTGAGGCATTGACGTCAAATGTAAGGGAGGTAAATTAATTTGATGTGTAAAAAGCATTTTACAAGAACATTTTAAACATGAAAGCAAATATTATCGAAGGATAATTAACTCGTGTAGATTACTAGGATATTTTAAGGGATTACGATGAATAACCTATTTACATCAAGTTATCTTCCGCTTTTATTTTTTGTCATGTTAACAAAATGTTTCTTTTTCCACAGAAACAAATTTTATTTTATTTTTTTGAAGAAGGGATATGACAAGCCGGATCTTGTCACACATTCCGAAACTACTAAACGTGAGGTTAAAAAAATTTATCAGCCTCCTCCCTTACTCCGATCAAATATGAGAGAGTGAGAGTGTATGTATGTGTGTGTGTGTGTGTGTGTGTGTATATAATGGGCACATGGCCGAGTGGTTAGAACGTTCTTATTCTGACAATCGAATCTCACCATGGTCGATTTGTCAGGAAGGAGACTGTTATCTGACTGGAGGGGTTGATCCCAGGTTGCACGGGTTGACCCAAGTCATGTGAGTGAAATTGAGTAGACAGCTGTGCTAGCATGAAGTCACAAGTCATATTGGCCTAGGGCTTGAGCATGCTGGACTTGTTCAAATTGTTGATCACTCACTCTAGAAACTGTAACTACGGTCTGCTCAGCATAGTTGTGGTATAACTACAGGTGGGCTCTGTGGGTGTTGAATAAACACAAATGCGCCTGAGCAAGCATCTGCAATAGGGATTGGCTAGCCACTCTAGTAAACAGGTACCCTCGAATATGAGTGGCCAGCTATACTACTGAGATACTGACAACCTTTCTCTACCCCACTCTCTGCCAATTTTATCCTCTGGGTATTTAATCATTATTATTTGTGCTTATTTTTTTTTTCATTTTAGTGTAGCAAGAAATACTAATACAGGATGTAGCAGAAATACCTTCCACATACGGGTAAGACATTAGCTACTTAAAGCCACCATTGTCACTATTATGTGGGAGGTCTTTCTGCCACACACTATAATGTATATAGCTATCTAGTTTTATTTCCCTCCACCGAATATGTTACTGAGAATAAATTTTATAAAACTCAACATTTAGTATACATGTTCAATGACTGTTATCTATAGTGTTGAGTCTTTGAAATAAAACCTGTAGAAGGAAATTTGGCCCCTCCCTTTATGTTTTTAACTGTTAGAAAATAGGATTGTTCTGCACCAAGTGATTGAAATTATCTAACATAAAAATTTTATAAATAGAAATTTAAAATGCATTTGTGATACAGTCAAGAACAATTCTTTTCACATGTCTGATCATATAGCAAAGATAATTCTTGCAATGCTAGAATTTTGTAAGGGCTCATCTAGGCTTCAAATAAAGAATTCATATGTAACAAGCTCTGGTATAAATTAACAGATTAGCCATATTTAGCTACTTTTGATAGACATTTTAAGATAAAACTTTGTAATGATCTTTCATATGCCTTTTTTGCTTTTTCAGAAAAAACTTGCGTGATTATCAAGCTGATCGAGAAAGAAGTGACCTTGGATATTTTGTTTTTGATTTGAATTCTGATATCCTTTTTGATTTGTAGAAATACGAACAATTCTGCCTAAGTGATTCAAAAGAAGAAATAGTCTTGCATTGTCACCTCTTTATACACACATGTTGCAGATTTGTAAGCAAAGAAACAGATTAACTTGTTTGTTATACATTTTTATGTGAAGTGAGAATGTATGATCATTAATGTGTTGATGTGCCTTGTCTTTTTCCATATTCAGCTAGCAATTATGCTTTCACTGATTCTAGTAATGGTGGTTTCTAACATTTCAGCTTTAATATTTCAAACATGACTTCGGGTTGTTTCTGTTTAGGTAAATATCCTTTATCAAAATGTGATTTTTATTTTTGTTGTGATCAGTGAGCAAAAAACTAACACCTGAATGACATGATATGCTTTGTTTGTCAAATGATCACTCATTGACTTATTGGAAATACCTATTCTAGGTATAAGTTGATGGTAAAAGTGTTCACCTAAGATCCCTTTAAAAGTAGGTGATTCTCTTTATCTTCTGTGGTAATAAAAAAAAAAGGGGGTGGTGAATAACAACTGAATTCTTTTTTGAATGCTTGGGATATTTGCATGTGAAGCTGTAACTCTTTGATCCAATATGTAAAATATTTGTGTTTTAGAAAATTGTTTGTCACACCCACAAAGAAACCTTTATTAAAATTCAATTTTTATACCTTCTTTTAACCAGTTTGGCAGGAATTTAACTTAAAGCATATAGTATGATCACTAACTTTTGCCAGGAATAAAGCTGAGAAAAGTACACTGGAAGGTGACTGGCACAAATTGTGGCTAAGCTTAATTTTTCAGGGTCAGGAAAAGAATGTACCTGACTTCCCTAGATTTAATGTCTAGTGGAAACATCATGATCCCAGAATTGGTTGAGTCTACTAGAAATGTCTTGTAAAACCAGAGAGATTAAAAAGAAAACCTAGCTGAATAAATGAACACTGATGAAGATGTGCCTATTGTTTATCATTCAACTGGTGATCAAGAAATCTTGGAGATGTTTCTTCTCAGTTTGCAGAACATTAAGAAAGTGTGGTGGAAGAAATAATTTCTATAGATAAATGTATCTAGATGACTATATTTAAGACTTGAGATTGAAGCAAAGTGATTTTATAATGGGGAAAAAAAAATTCTTTATTTGACTCAAAGAAAGTTAAAAGCCAGATTACCAGGAGCAAACTACATTGTATTCAGGGCCGGATTATCCTTTAGGCTAGTATAGGCTGCAGCCTAGGGCTCCTTGAGCTTTAAGGTGTTTTTTTTAATTTTTTCTCCACTATGGTTATGTTATGCTAATTTAGTTTGCAATAAATAGTAAAAAAGTGATATTTCTTAAAGAATATTTTTATTGACAAATAAAAGATAGCTATTCTAGTTTATTTAAAGAGTTTGCAATAAGTTAACATCAAGCTAAGTAACTGTCATTAAAATATATCACGAGTTAAAAGAAGAATATTCAAGATGGGTCCAAGTTAGAGGGCGGTAGCTCATGATTTTAATAACCTAGGGGCCCCAAAAAAGTCATGATCTGGCCCTGATTGTATTGGTGTTTAAAGAGTGTCATTAATAACACTGCCAAACATCAGTCCAGCTTAGAAAATCTATTTCTTGTGCAATCCTTTCTAACTGATGTGCAAATATTGGCAAACTGAAGATTCTCATGACCTGGTACTCAGAACCTGTGTTTGTCTTGTCTGGTTTTCGCACAACCACATGTTGAGAGTGCTTGCTTTAACTGATAAAAAAATATGGTGTTATGTAGCTCTTCCAGTCCCAGACCCATGCTGACTATTAGCTAATACCTGCCTAGTATTGTTCATATGCAAATAGCACCACCTACTCTAAGTAGGTCTTCTCTTGTGGAAGAGGATGCAACTCCTGGTGCTTACAGCACCAATTACAATCGACTCTGAGTCTTTTATCGGGCTGACCAGATTCTCTGTTACAAAACCTTATCTGAAATCATTAATCCTTGTATTCCTGTTTTTAAGCTTTGTTTACTTCTGATACTGAGAACAGTACAATATATATATGGAATAAACTGGTAATATAGTGAGGTTAATCATATATTTACATAGGGAACCTATAAGGGATCTTTTTTTTTCTTTGAATGATCCCAAGTTTGCTAAATTAAAATGTACAACCTTTTTAATTACAATGGATCCTGACATTAAAAAATGTAAACACTAATTGACATGTAAAAATAAGAACTTTTCTTTTTTAATTAAATACTGTGGTAAAATATGTAAACTAAAAAGCAAATATTTAGATAAATAGACTAGATTATTGCTTTTTGTAATTAGTTTTGTATCTGTTTCTAAGCCAATCTGTACTTTACTTTTCAGAGAGCCTTTTTACATATCTTTACAGTGACTATAATTGTTAATAAATCAGTTTTTTTATTTTTTTAACTGCATATTTTAAATGTAGTTATAAACATTAACAAAATTGAGTAAAATAAATTGCCTGGTTTATCTTGAGATATCATTATTATATGCCTTACTGTTGATAGCAGACATAGAAAGGAAACTGCAAGAAGTTCTACAGAAGGTAGTGAAGAAAAGTGAGCAGAAACATCAATTGCAAGAAGATAGAATGCATGATTATCAGCAATAGGGACAGCCCAACATTTATAAATTGGAGATATCAAAATTAAACAAGTACAACAATTTAAATATCTGGGAAGTGTTTTAAGAGAATTGAAAGATGCTTTCCAAAAGCTAAGCAGAGTATTAAAGAACAGAAAAATTTCATTAGAAAAAGAAGGGTCCTAAATGGTGATGTAATATCAGTTCTCCTATATGGCATTGCAGATGAAGAGACTTGAAGAAACAAATGTTGTTCTACAGAAGGATGTTGAATACCATGGACTGAATATGTGAGCAATAATAATGTTTTAGAAAAAATGGAAACCAAAAGGACACTTATACATAACATCAGGAAAACTTAGTTGGAATTTGATACAGGACATATTGAAGGCATGAGGTACAGAGAAAAACAGCACATAACCTACCTAACAAACTTGTGGAAATGGCTGGCAGAACAAGGTTTAGAAAAGATAATAAAACATATTAAGAGCTACAAAGGACAGGAAATTGTGCAAAGCCATGATTGTCAGCATTCTGAAGGGAGACTATGCATAGAAGATTTGGTAATTATATTCTATTTGGTGATTATACTCAATTTTTGGGGGTTATTTATTTATTTTTATATATATATATAAAATGTGCAGTACTTACTGGAAAGTGCTCAATATCGGTGATAGCTAACATTTAGTTGGATTGATATGAGTTTGTGACCTTGGATTTCATGTTATTTGCGATTGTCAGACAAACACAAAGAAGTTGTGTGTGTGTGTATATATATATATATATATATATATATATATATATATATATATATATATATAAAAGGAAATTGTAAAACAAAAGTGGAATAAGTTTATTTGTGACGCATTTCATCCATTAGGACTTCATCAGATTGGGTTTGTTCTGAATACACATGCATGAATAAGAGACGCTGGTAGTTTCAAAATGTTTGTAAATAATTTTTGCAATGTAGCCAAATTCATCTATATTCCTTTTCTTTCCATCATAGATAAAAAAGAAAGTTGATGGAAAGAAAAGAATATAGATGAATTTGGCTAGATTACAAAAATTTTGAAACTACCATTGTCTCTTGTACATGTATAGTCACAACAATGTTAACAAACCCAATCCAATGAAGTCTGAAAGGATGAAATGCATCACAAATAAACTTTTTTCCATTTTGTCTTACAATTTCTTCAATACTGTTCTTGAGATGTATGCATGTGTATCATTAATTAATGTACACACACACACACATATATATATATATATATATGTACATTAATTTGTGATGCATTTCATACATTAGGGCTTCATCAGACTAAAGATATTTTTATCTTGATATGTGCAAGGAGACTCTGAAATGTTAAATTTAATTTTTTTTTTTTTTTTTTTTTTTTTTTTTTTTTAAATGTTTGAGTATGTAGTCTAGCTGATCTCATTTAAGTTCTATGCTAACAATTTCTTTTCTGGCACTTCATGCTTTCCAGCCAATTTTGATCTTCACAAATTTAAATGCAGTGTCAATCATTATCTCCTGTCTTAATTTCTTTCCTTTTATTGTTTTTGCTCTTTACTATTTTCTTTTGTTTATATTCTTTTACAGTTGGTAACATCATGCATCTTAGTGGCTTTGTTTGGGGTGAAATGATTTTATTTTGTTTTTTTTTGTTTTTTAAATCATAAACATGACTAGATAATTGTAAATTCCAGATGACTGACTTGTGAAAGTGCAGACTTGACCATTTATTTATTTGTATTTACACTGAAATTTTTGCTGAACATTCTAAAATGTGACTTATTTCTTTACAAATTTTCTCTTACCTCAAATTTTTTTCCTTAATGCTAATCAGATATCTCTAAGTTATTCAATTGGAATGTGAAACTCCTATTTTTGTATTTGACAGCTGAATATGAAACTGCAGAACATGTGAGTATTTAAAACAATTTAAAAATCAGCCATTTATTAATTTTCGACTAGTATATCATTCATCTTATTTATTACAACTAAGACTCTCAGCAATAAACATTAAGATGAAAGAAATAATGGTGTAAAGATTGTTCTGTTTTCCATTGACTGGCCAATGATTACCACCATGTTGTGTCCCCATTCTTATTTGTGCTGATGTCTACCAAAAACCAGGAAAAGTCCATTGTGTGTAACAGAAGTTGAAAATAAATGTGGCAAGAGATGAGAATTTGAACCATGTTTTCAATTATGTAAAAATATTCAGAGCTTCTCTTTCTAGCTCTTGTTTAGATATGTGACACTTGGGACATTCTGCCATGTTGGCTAATAGATCGGAATGTTCCTATCATCAACTCTTTTCCCATCTCAATATGTGGCTGACAATGCAAGTGGGCAGCATCAGAACTACTCGAGGGACAATCTGTCCCCAGCCAAGGACAGACCAGAACTAATCTCCTCAATTCCAACTGTGACAATATAGACCAACAACTGGAAATCATCAATGTCTGGCTTTGTTGACACTTGACTCTAAATGCTTTCCTTATTTGTTGTTCTTTGCTCAAAGACCTGGCAGCCATAAAATGAACAGCTGAGATAAAATCATATCTTCCTCTAATGATATATTTGATGTCACGCCATTAATTTAGCTCCATTTTTTTTTTTTGAGACATAAAGGACTTATGAGATCATAGGATAACTTGAATTTGACATCATAAAAATAATTAAGTGAAACTTAAAAATTCTCCATCTTGAGCCCAACAAATTATTGCTATTCTGAATTTTTCTGGCAAAACATCTTTACTAGTTTATCTTTAATTTTATTGTTGCAACACTTAATATTCTATGACTTAACAGGATTTCAATAACCATTAATATGATGAAAGAATTAATTAAAAGAAAATACTTTAAGAAATTCTGATAATTTAAAGATGTCCATTATAGTAGATAAAAAAAAAATAGTGTAGAGAAATTGGATTAGAAGGGCTTTAGCTATAAACTTCAACTAACTGTTTGATCTCCCTGGCCAAATTGGTAAATCACTATTCATGGCATATGAACTCTTAAGAGGCTTATTTCTGATTCAAGCTGCTTTATGATTGTAGAATATAAAAACAACCTGGCTATTGTGATAAGAAAACAATACTAAAATTAAAGATAAACTAGTCAGTAATTGCTATGAATAAAATGAAAATCTTTTTTTTTTTTTTTTTTTTTTTTTGTTTTTATGGGATTTATCTTAATAGGTGCCAGTATTAGAAGAGTAGACTTTCAAGTGATATTAATTTTTGTTTTCTTTTCATAATAGAAAATAAATCAAGTTGTAATCTGGGATAAAATAATCCGCCGTGGTGAAAATGCAATTTTGGACTACCGGAGCATGAACACCAAATATCACTTTTGGGATCTTGGCAATGGATTACGGTAAGTACATTGTATTCTGTTCAAAATGTTACCTTGTCACATAATCATGTTAATGTTCTTTCTATTTTATTCATTGTTCAATTTTTGATCTAACTTTGATCCTTACCTATGAACCCAAAGGTATTTCTTCCTTTGCAATTCTCATTTATGAAGTGGTAATTATTTTTTTTTTTTTTTCTTCTTCTAGGGGTAACAAAAATGTATCATTGGCTTTGTCTTGGAATGTAATTCCCAATGCTGGTACTTTGCCAAAGGTTGCCGGGAACGGAAGATATGAATTTGCTTTCCCAGATGACTATGCTTCCAGTCGGTTATAAGCACCTACCATTTTTCACTGCTGCTTCATTTGTCATTTAAGTTAATAAATGATCTTTTTACTTTAAATATAATCTTTGTGTCAGTGTCCAATTGAGGAGCCACCACTGTCCATACCTCTTGTAGGGCCAAAATTCCTATGGCTGAATTGGTCATCTTGTACAACCAAATGTTATCTATGAAATGAGATTCATAACAGTGAGGCCTTTGACAAGACAAAAATAAAGTAAAACTTATATATATATAAAATTACCAATTCATGGATGTGAGTAATCTGTTAATGTTTCTGAGAAAGAGAAATGCTGTTTCTAACCAGACTTTGTATTTTTTTCTTTTTTTTTTTCTTCATTTCTGGTTTTGAGATGAAGGGTTTTAATCTTTTAAAAGAAATGTCTCTGGTAGAAATTAGATTCCTTTCTTCTTTATGTGAACTGAAAAGCAACAAAATAAGTGTACATCTAAATTTGATATTTATGAATTTGAACAGTAAGCTTTTGGCTTGTCATTTCCAGCAGAGTTCATCAACCCAAGCATTGTTTTGTCTGACCTCACCCCATCTCCAGGGATAAGAGTTTATAATTCCAAATGATGATGGTGTGGATTAATGATCTCATATTGGGTTCAAACCCAGTGTCTTTAATGATGGCCATTTTCTTCAAAGCTTGTTTATATATTTCTATAGTTTATAATAATAAACTCTCATTGAAATAATTGCTTATTGTAACAATTTGGTTTAATATTTGGAGTATTTATTTCTTAGTAGGCACATCCTTGTGTATATACATATAATAATCATTTATTTATACCATACACAATTTATCTATTTCAAGTTCAAGCCAAAGGCCAATTTTATTAATTTCATAACATATTTACTCTCAATTTTTCATGTATTCAACATCATACATTTTTTACTGTTAAAATAATGTTATTCTATTTATCTTATATTTTGTTCTGATCAGTATCTTTTTACTTGAAATTCTATTTTCTTTATTTTAAGGAACTCCTAATCCTATACTCTTTTATTATTATTATTAAGCAGATATTGTAGGGTGAGCTTTGGGTATTAAATGAATGTTCTTTGTCAAAGATTTAAGTTCTTTTGATTGGCTGGAAGTAATTGTAATTAATAATTGATGCACCAACTTTATACAATCTTTGAGATCATTAATTCTCAGAGTAGAAAACCTCTTTTCAGTTTGGATAACAAGAATAACTTATGTTATAGAAAAAAAAATTATCAGAGTAATTTAAAAATAGTAATTTGTATATTTTAGATTTTAAAGTGAATATTTTGAGCCAATGTTTCTTCTATTTAAGCACAGTACATACTGACCTTTTTGGATTCAGTTTGTCTTTTATAGAAGGTAAGGTTTCCAAATAACTGATATGAAACTAATTTTAATAACCATGTACTTTTTTTCATTTTTTTTTTTTTTTTGCTATCTTTTGTTTTTTAAACCTAATTTCTTCTGCCACAATGTTACTTAACTGGCTTTCTTTAAAAAATATATTAACTTTTTTTTTTTTTTTTTTAATCCACTTCAGTTTTAATAAAATCCTGGGGAATGTTTTCCTTTGTCTGTTTTTCTTTTTCTTTATCTTTTTCCTACTAAATTACATTTTTTAACTTCAACCGTAATTCACAGCAAGTCTGGCATACATACTATTTTAAAATGGAAGAAATTATTAACTATTAATGCATATCATAATTAAAGCTTCAATTTCCCTGGGAGAATGCTTTATATTGTTAACTTTGTAATTGGTGATTTTTCTGTTTAACAGTATTGCGGCCAAACATGATACTATGTCCGCTGTGACCAGTGTAAAATGCTTTCATGACTTTAATTTTTGAATATTTTGTTCAATATAAAGATAAAAAGAAAATATTTTTTTTTCAGTATTGATAGGTTTTAGCCCCATGGGGAACTATAAGATTACTGTTCAATTTCATGTACCAGGTTTGTTGAGTTATTTTTCCTTAAATTGCCATATTTCATAACAGATTGTCATTGCAGTTCAGACTATAAAAAAAAAAAATCTACAGTTAAGGGATTAAGTCTTGGTTTCTCTGAGGATAAGTTGGTTGTCATAAATCATGTTAATTACTCTAGCTTATCACTTCCTGGCTTTTAGCCTTGAAGAGAGTCTGTGTGCCTCTGTGCTTGTTTGTTTTATCTGTATCGGAGCTGTTTGACATTGTAGGATCTTAATTCAGCAACTAATTTTTTTTTTTTTTTGTATACACATGTAACTAAATACACCACCCACACTACATACATGTGCCTACATATGCATCCACTCAGGCATATATACATTAGCACTCATTTTTAATTATCATTCTTGTACACATATATAGATGTACGCACACATACATTTTTGATATATACATACACATATATATATATATATATATATATATATACACACACACACACATATATATCTCTATTCATACATAACACTTTATATATCTTCATGTGCACTCCTATATACATTTGTGCACACATAACTATAATCTGTAAAGCTAATTGCTGAGTGCGCTATCTTGATCTGGTGACAGAACTTGAAATAAGTGTTATACACTTAATTATTTCTAGCTTTTAGAAGATTTTCAACCTTTTTGGATATGAAAAGATGTCTCCCATGTTTTGCTTTTACATGAGAAAAATAAAGTTAAAAATTTTTATTTCTGAGAACCAATATTGGACAAATACATGTAAATTTAAGATGATTACAAACCACAAATGCTCACATGAGCCCAAACTGTTCATCACATCACAAAATGATGACTGGAATGAAAAGAAAAATATCAATATGCAAAATATATATTAAAAAAAATATCTGAAAATGGATCACAGGGTTATAAATTTCACAAACTGTTTTTTTTTTTTTTTTTTTTTTTTTATTTTTAATCAAATAATATTAATAAGTATAATTACTCTGAGACAACTTGTAATGTTTAAATTCAGGTTACATTGCTTCTATTTTAAATATTTAGCCAGTTTGGAAAATAAGTAACATAAATACTAATTATAGTTTGCAGTATGAACTGGAGACAACGTGCTTAATCTAGGAAAAAAAAAAAAAATTTCATGAAACAATTTATTATAATGGCAAATCATTTTATGATAGACAATCTCTAAAGAAAAAAGTTAATATCATCTCTGATTGATTGGACTATAATTTACATACCATTTTTATTATTTTAAAATATGTACAATTTAATTTTAACTTTTAAAAACTTATTAATAAGTTTTATTTTGTTTCTTATTTATATATTTTACTTGTAAAAACGTGTGTATTCATTTGCTATATCAACTTACTTTATGGAGGCTACTTACACTACATACAATTGTTTGTAGTGGAGTGTTTGAAATTTGACACTGATTCATTGAAATGATTAAAGGAAAGGTAAAATTGAAGCCGGCATAGAGTAGCTTAAGAATACTTGAACAATAATTATGATCAATAACATTAACCATTCTCCCCCTCCACTCCATGCTAATCAGTTGTCAAGATAATTTGTAGTAGAACAATTTTCTTGAAATACTTTAAATAATTCTACATCTGCTCTTTTAGTATAAAATAAAAGGTCAACTGTAACTTCCTTCCATGTGAAAAATTGGACTTAATATATTTTTTTTTTATTTTAAGCATGCGTTACATCTCAATAAGACCTTTTCTCACTCCTACATGCACAAACATTTTGTTTTATTTACTCATTTCCAGTGCCGTTTTACATTTAGTAATTTTCAAAATGGGTAATCATTTAAGTGTTCCCAAGATTAATTTATTTTTTAATCAGTGTGCTAAGTTTTAACAATTTAGATTCTACAATCCAGTTTTCATCTATGCATAGATTGCAATTAAAAATGACTGACTTAAGTGTGAAGTAGCAATGTAACTAGGTACATAATTTGTTTTTTTAAATAAATCTTTTAAAAGAATTTGATAGAGCACACTCACATACATAAGAAAATGAATGTACAAATTATATAAATTTTATATCAACACAACAAAAACAAACCAAAGCAGTGCATAGCAGTGTTCAACTATCAAGTTTTAATTTTATATCTTTGAGAAAAGAATTTGAATACCACATCAGACAAATTGGAAAATATTCAGAATACCTTGTAGCTGTATCACATCCTCAAATACAAATTAACCATATAGAAAACAATTCTGTACATACATTTATATAAAAGAATAATTTAATTTGCGGTATTGCTGTATGTTGCCTTTAAGAAAAAACCTTTTAAATAGCAGTTGCTATGAAAAAACAAAATATCCATCATAAATTTCAAATGTCACAATAATAGAAAAACAATTTTAAAAATCTTTAGTTTTAAAGTTGAAAAGCTTAATGCTAATCAAATAACCTCATACAAATGTTGACAATTAAAATTTAAAAAATATACTGTACAAAGAAACAATATGCTGCTTTCCAACACTATCAAATATAAAATAGTTCAAATAACACTGATGCTGAATTGTAGATGTAATTTGTGTTTTCAAGACTTTCCAAAAACAAGCTTCTGCAATATCACATTTAAATAATATACAGGAAACTACCTATATGACAATTGTAATTGAAGTGAGATGACAAGTGAGTTAAGGTATTTACAAATGATTACAACTACTCTATATAGTTTTTAATCACAAACTTAAAGTGTATAAAGAGGCCTTGCACCTCAAAAATATTCTGAATATATAGAAAAGTATTGAGATATATGCATAGCCCCTTTTACAAAAAGGAATGCTAAAATACTCTTCTTGTTTAGCACCCTTGTGAAGGTTTTACATTTGTATCTACTATTCAATTATAAGCTGTTGATAAGGTTAAGCAATACATTGTTAGTAATTTGTGACAGTGCAAAATAATTCCATAGACCTCAGAAAAAAAGAAATCTGAAATTTGGTAAATGATTACTGTTAATTTTGTGTTCTCCTTGCTTGAGAAAATGAACTATTTTTAATATAAGCACAAAATTGCTATTTGAGTGTTAAAATGGCTTCTACAACTAGTCAATATGTTACAATATAAATAGATAATAAAATATTCATGTTTTAATATACAATTTTTTTAATTCTAAATATCTAAAGCCTCTCTAAGAACACGCAAAACATATTTGATGGAATCACATCCTTCTTGTCAACAAAAAAAAAAAGTTATTATAAGTCTTGTTTGAATTAGTCAATGGTTTTATTTTCCAGAATCTTAGAAATTCTAGAATTTAGTTTTTTTAATACAAGTCTGAGTGAATGGCTTTTTTCATATAAACTGTAATAGCTGAAAAATTGGAACCCTGCTGAGTGTGCAACTAGACTTGCAACAGCTAATGATGTTCTCGATTTACCCTGTCAGTAGTTATCTGCCCTTTAATACAGAAAATACCATTTAACTTCCTGGCTTTTTGGCTGGGATCAGCTCTGCTTTTCTTTGAACAAGATTCCAATTATAGAGCATTACTTCACTGTTGTATTTAAAGGGAATGTCATGGGGACAATAACTTTTCATTTACCCCACCTGATAGCTTGATTTAAAATTTAGATTTGTCGGAAGGTAAATAAACATCAGCATGGGACATTAAAATTGTTTTTACTCTGGTCAAGAGCCAACACTAAAAGGTAGGGTAAGAGGAGGCTTTTGTTTAAGCAATTAACAATTTTTGTTTGAAAATAAGCTCAAGGAGAACAAAAAAGCTGTTGGAGTTTTCCCCACATTCTGTAGATGATAAAATACATATTATTCTAGTAAATCTCCTTCTGAATTAAAATTGATTAATTGGTAATGCTTAATGCACTGATTTTCTTTTTATACTGTTTCTTAAAGCCTGGAGGAGACTTGTTTAAATTGATGTATCATTTTAATTATACAAAAGTACTGCTAATAATTTTTGGATAAAAAAAAGTTAATGTGAAAAAGCTGTTTTCTGTTACAGGAGTCTGAAGTAGCAAGTGGCTGAGAACAGATGCAATTTTATCACAGCTTCAGAAAAAGAATTTGATGAATTGGTTTATAATTGTTAGTTATTGTGATAATAGCTCAAGTGGGAATATGTAATTTAATCATGCTCAAAAGATGATTTCACCAGGAAGTTGATGATAGAGTAAGTAAAATTATCCAGAATTATAAAACTACAGCTTCTGATATTTTTGGCTGTTAAAACAAAAATATGCCTCAATTATATAGTGGAGAGGAGCAGAAATTGAAATTTTTCTATCTTAATGAAGCTCTCTTGACTGAGAAATTGTGTAGTAGACAAATAAATGTGCACTTTTCAAGTACACCAACCAAGTGTTATAGGCAACAAAGATGATAGATCAAAATTGTGGTAGGACATAAACGATTTCTTGATATAAAATATTCTTACTCTTCATCCTTTAATATTTGTAGGGAAAATGCAAACATCGGACGGACAGTTAAGCATTGCACTAGACAGCATTGTTCAAAATTCATACGAATGTTCCTTTTCAACACATACATTAACATTTTGAGTAGGAATCTTGCAACAAATATCTGACAAAAACAAGTTTAAATTCAAGTAACAAAATTAAATTCTTTTCAAACAAATTGACAAACATTTTTTTCATATTTTCACACCAAACAAAGTAATTTTTTCCTTCATTTCAAATAAAAGCAATAGCTGCTTAAAAATATCTTAAACTGTAAAATTACAAACTGATGTCAAATTGTAGACTATTTATGAAGTAATATTTTCAAAAACAATTTAAACTGTAATCTGCAGTCAAAAATTATACTGAAGGATCTTTTAATCAATATTAAAAAAAAAAAAAAAGCTAATATTACAAAAATTCATGTACCACTTCCATCAAAAAATGTAAAGTTAATGAATTTTTAAAGTTTTATTTTTTTTTTTATTTAAATTATATACTGATTGCCATTCAATAAGTGAATTTATTTGGAAATAACCTGTAAAAAAAAAAAAAAATCCAAAGACTAATCCCCCAACAAATGTAAAATAAAAATGTTACAAAATCTATATTCTATATGATCAATATACTAAATATAAAAATTTAATCAATCTGTAATGTTGAAATGAATTTGTTTTCTAAATTCTTTCATATTAGACATACTGGGTTTGGCAAAGTTTGTTTATTAAGTAAGTTTTCTACTTAATGACCAAACAGAACAAACTTTTTGGCCAACCCAATAGTTGGAAATTAAGGGCTTTGGGCTTACAAAACTAAAAATGTACAAATTAAAATAATGCTACAGATACCACTATCTACTTATTTGAAATAGATCCCATATTTGTTTAATTAAAATTCTGTTTTTCTATAGTAGAATAAAACTATTTGTTAGTACATAAATGTCTTTATTAACACCTAACAATTGCAATCAAATACCAGAATTCGATTTTCAAGGAAAACCTTCAGTATGTTTTCACATACATAATATTTACGAATAAAATAATTTCATCTAAACATTTACCAGATACCTATATTGATTTCTTGAAAGATTTTTATACAAATGATTTCAACAGCGTAAATGTTAAAATAGAACTCCAAATAATGCAAAATCTATGATTATATGTATAGGTTGATTAGCTGCTTTGTTTTTCAATATTGTTAAATTTTCAAAAATGTTAAGGTGAAGTATTTTCTGTTCAATACTGGATAGGGAGGGAAAAAAGTAACAATTAGTAACTCCATAAACTAATCTTTACAATAAAGTAATTTCAAGAGAATTCAGTTACTTTGAAAAATACCTTCCAAAATAAATGTAATAACTGGTGCTGTTGATAAATTATTAGATAGACTAATTTTTGGAGTGTTTGATATCTGTAGCCAAAGGGGACATTATGTAAGAAATTAGAAACATAAGAATTGTTACACACAACATGAAGCATTTAACATTTTTTTGACTTATCCTCACTGTTATAGTTTTCTTTTCACAATATTTTCATGCCTTTTCTTAATCTTTTTAATTAATGACTTTTGTTTTAACAAATAAACATTGATATGAATGAGTAATGAAAACTGAACCATTTAATCAAGAAAAAAAATTCTGACACTGACAAGCATCAAGAAATCCTAGAAAATCTATTTTTATGACAGATATACTAAAATACAAAATGGTTAATCTACAATAGAAATTTTATACAGAATGTAGAGGACAGATTTGTAATTGATTTTAATGTAAACATTTTTCTTCTGAAAGAAAGAAAAAAAATTAATTTCCATTCAACAACAGAATGAGTAATTGAAAATGAGACAAGAGAATTGCTGTTGTGATCTAATAAGGAATATCAAGAAGGAAAAAAAAATGGGAGACTCCTTTTAATGACACTGAAAAAAAATATGCTCTTGACACTTCAGTTTGCCATAAATAGAATTATAATTAAACTAGAAATCTTTTATAGAAGTGTTATGGGTCCTATAGATAGATATTTTGCCTGGCAACAAGAGACTGGTGTTGTTCTATGAAAGCTGCACAGACATCTTATTTTTTAAAAAATATTATCGTATATATCAAGTTATTTTGTATGCTTATTTTTTGCAAAACTAAATTCTAACAATGTTGGTTGATGGATTGATTTTCCTTGCCCTCTCAGCTACAAAACAACTTATTCATTTGCTTTCTACTCAGATCAATTCACAAATCCCTAAAATAAAGATAAGGAAAATAGTGCCCTAATATTAAATGAAACTCCATTTGTGTTGCAGTAATTCAATTGAAAAAAAGGCCAATAATAAAGAGAAATAATGGCAAGGAATTATAAAAATAAAAAAAAAAGTAAAAATTTTTAATAAAAAATAAAATAATTTATTCAAATGAGTAATTTGAAATATGCAATGATGAAAATGGTTGGGATGAGTAAAGAGATTACTAGTTTTGAGGTTGATTATAAATAATCATCTAAATGCTTAAATGTATCTGATGAACATGGAAGCATGTATATGTAGGAGTTCTTATCTGTGAATGTCTTCCCTTGTTTTCATGAGTGTATATGTCTTGTCGATGCAGTTAAGTGTGTCTTTCAATGCAAGTAATTCTCCGTGCGTGTGCATTCTGAATGCATTAAAATGATTGCATGTGTGATATGATCTATGTTTTCTCATGAATGCATATCCTCAGACATAATTTAATTCTGAGGCTCATTAACTATAATGTAGAAAAAGAAATAAATCTGACTTTAAATAGATTATTTAACTATAAATATCCCTTATTGATTTACTTTTTCACCCGTGGATTAAGAAAACACCTACAGGGGGGGAAAAGTTAGGAGAAATGGCTTCATCAAGACTTCATGATAAAGATTAAAATGTTTTAATTCTACTTGAGAATGAAGAAATTGTTAATCTGTATCTGTACATTATATAATATATGGATATATAATGCCTGCATGTACATTTTTTTTTATTTTTAATAATAGCAAAATATGCATGTTTAGAAAATTACTTATTTGAGGGAGACAAGAGCAAAATGATGATGCAATTTAAAAATGTAGTTCTGCAAAAAGTTTGAAGCAAAAGGTAATGCCTCAAACTTGGCACAAACCCTGTGGAGTAATTTTCTTTCAACCAGAAAATGTACAAGCCTTACACAGTTGAAGGTTTTCATAAATACATCAACTGTTTTGTAATAAGAATATTTCATAAATCCAAGAGGCATGCTCATTCTTGTGGCCAGTGCCTTTCTCTGATCTACTTTTGGTTTGGGATGGGATGCAAAAGTGATGAAAGGAAAAAATGAAAATATGATGATACAATTTTTATGGGAAGGAAAAAATAAGCAAAAAGAATTTGACACAACCATTTCACTGGTTTGGTAGAAGCAAATAAAGGGTGAAGAGTGGGAGGCCAAAATAAAAGGACGGTGACTTTGATAGGTGAGAATTTCTATTTGATGATTGTGAAGATAAGACAAGCTGTTTTAGCACTGGTATTTTCTATACTGTATTCTCCATCTACAAAAAAAAGAAAAGAATATGATTACAAATTATACAAACATGAACAATATTGAAATGTCTTTGTTTCTTTAATGCTGATAGATAACTAATACACTGACATGCCAAAAGTCATTGGATTGCAGTATGTAAAAGTAATACCGTTACCATAACTTAATGTCTAGGAATTGCCCAATTCTGTTCTGACATCTTGAGAGGCAATGTGAACACTGGCTAGGCAGTTCATAGTAAGGTAATGTAAATTATTTAGGGTTTGAATAGGGCATAATAATGGGTGCCAGACAGATGTGATGTTTAATATTCTTTAACTATAGTGTAATATGTGTACCATGTATAGTTGACAGAAAGCATTACTGCCCACTGGGGACAATGTAGTGGTCAACCACGGTTCCTTAATTGTGACCAGAGGCATCTGCAAAAGCAGACAAGTGACACTGGCTTAAATCACATCCAATGTAGGAGGTACCAGACACTGAATGTAGCACCTCACCTGGGCTCATGATATTGCTAATTTGACCCAGGAGGATTGACAACTGGCATGGCCCGAGGAGTCATAGTTCCAGTTGTTTCAGACTGATGGTAGGTCTTGGGCATGGTTCAGACTTCAATGAGTCCATGGATTCCAGTTGTGAACAAGGCACACTGTAGGTTGATGGTTGTCCATCTTGTAATGATCTGGTATGGTTTGCCTAAACATGTCATTGACTGGTGATCACTATATTGCACTACTAATGACCATTTATACCCATTCACGAACTCCATGTGCCACAGCAATGATGGGTTATTCCAGCCAAATAAGATACTGTGTCATTGGTTGCCCAGAATTGGTTTGAAGAGCATTTTGAAGACTTCTAACAAATAATGTGGTCACCATGTTCACCTGATCCTGCACCAACAAATATAAATGCATATCTATTGAAACATGGCTCAACATCATTCCAGATGTCTTCTGACCATTTGCAGAATCAATGCCTCATCAAGTTGTTGTGCAAAATACTATGTACATCAGTGTATATTTATCAATAAGTCTAAAAATTTAAATTGAAAAATAAGTTATGGAAAAAAACAGATGTCAAAAATTCTGCATTTGGAAATAAAATTTCAAAATAATTTCAGAAACAACATATAAGAGTAGAACATAAGAGTAACACAATATTTTTTTTTTTATAAAGCTTTGAAATATGGAAATTCAAAGTGACTTATTTTACTTTTCAATCAAGATTGCTAGATTGAACTATTTTTGAATTTTGTTACTCTTTGTTTTTTGGTTACTTTTAAAATAAGCTGAGCTAACTTAGGTTACTAATGAGAAATACTTCAATTCAAAATTTAATATTGCTAAGCTTTCAAATGTCACCAATCTAGTAACAATGGTATTGAAAATAACATATGAACCTAATTCTCCATTATACAAACTGTCCTAACAATATATTATGATGATAAATGCAGTTGGAGATATTAATTATTACATGATTAGAAAGGTAAAGTAACACGGATCTTGATTAGCATGTTTTAAACAAAAACCTTACCAATATCACAATGGTAAAAACTTTCCTTATGAATGAACTGGATTGAATTCAAAAATATATATGATGCATTTGGTGGAGGAGAGGGTGTATTCAACAAAAAAATTAAAAATTGCTTTTTTCACTGCAAATTATTCATTATATCATTTCCAATTACACAATATTTCAAGCTCAATTTAGGTTTATAGTTCATAACCATGCAATGAGATGAAGTAACATAAAATTTAGGTTTGTCTGCGGTATATCTTTATATTATTGTTACATAATTATAGTGAAATCTTTAAGAATTTTTTCTCAATAGCGTTTTATTTTTGGTTGTGTATTAATTTAAAATATCCTTTTTACAGGCTTTATTTCTGAAAGGGAATAGGATCATTCAGAATTTTGCATGACTGGAAGAAAGCAATGGAAAAGAGAGGTAACAAAGTGTAAATGAAATAGCTCCAGTTTGTTCAACTTAGGAAACTTAGCATTGCAGCCAAAGTATTCTAAAATGCTGCCAATAACAAAAGAGAAAATGAAAAATACCTCACAACAAATCGAATATAGTATCAAAATTTATATTATTATTATTCATTTGTTATGTAACTAAATACATAATTCTCAACAATGTTTCCATAAACTTGATATTTTCTGTAATAAATTCTTAAGCAAGGAAATTTTTCTCCCCGGAATCGATCCTCCAGATCTACTAATCAACAATTCATCCTTGCATGGAGTATTGCTGCCATATATGGTCTGGAGCCCCTTCTGTTTGCCTCGGGGTTCTTGATAGGCTCCAAAGGCAGATATGCAATATAATTGGCCCTACTCTGGCATCTCATCTACAGTCACTTTCTCACAGACACGCTGTTGCCTTTCTCTGTCTGTTTTACAAATACTTTCATGGCAATTGCTCCGAGGAGCTGCATTCGCTGGTTCCCAGACTCCATGAGTTCAAATGCCCTACAAGGCTGGCATCCCGCTCTCACCCTTTCATTGTCGAAACTCCTAAATGTAGCCGTCTCTTCTACTCCAATAGCTTCATGTCTCGCACCTCTCGCCTGTGGAACTCCCTTCCCTATTCCAGTTTCCCTGAGAGCTATAATCTCCAGCTATTCAAATGTAATGTCAATCGACATCTCCAGTTGCCTTGATCTATCCACTACCCTTCTCCTCATCCTTTCTTCTATCACTCCTATCTGATCTTGCTCCAAATTTTCTGTAATCCCTTGCATCCTAGTGGCTTCTCGCCTTGCTTGGGGTGTAATGCGAAAAAAAAAAAAAAAAAAAAATAATAATATTTATTAAGTGTAAGGTAGTCGTACATTTACAATTCCTTATGGTTAACCATGAAAAGAAATGTTGATGAAAACTGCCTAGAACCTTTAAGTGCGTATTGCCACAAAATTATCAAATGTTGAAAACGTCCCCCTCCTCCGCTGAATGTGTTATATATATCATGAAGAAATAAAAATGGACACTTACTTTTAGCCACTACAAATGTGTCATGAATACTCAATTGTTGTTTTTCACTATCAATCTGTACTCTAACTTGGCCTTCCAGAACTGTGAAAAACTATACAGAAATAAAAGAAATACATCAAACTCTCATTTTATGTAATCAATACTGAAAAGTAAAATTGTTAAACAATGTGGAGGGGGAGGGCAAAGTGGGTTAAGTGAATGAAAATTAAGTCTGATGTATTGAAAGGAGTAGAAAAACTGATATTTGATTTTATATACAAAGTAGCAAAGAAAGCTATTAGAAATTTGAAAATTATAAATGGTTTTATGTAAAATAAAAATGAAGAATGGTGGTGATACATTCATAAAAAGTTATATAGTCATTTTCTCTTAATAATCAGAATTACTAGTGAGACTGATGAGCCTGTTGTTCACCACAATTTCTCAAATTTTAGAAAAGAACTTTAGACAGCCTCTCATTTCCTGTTCCATGTTGATTTTTGCATAATACTTGATTTTTATCACCAGCTATAGGCAAAAAACCAACTTCCTAGAGATAAATCTTTACAAATGAAATTAGAATTTATTGAACTTTAGCAAAGTATCTTCATCTTTGAACTAAAACTCAGTTAATTCCATGGCTTCTTTTTCACTGTTGTAAAACAGCTTGATAAGATTTTTCTTTCTCTCCAGACATAAAATCAGATGGTGATTGTGCCATGAATGAGCGCTGAATCCATGTGAACTTGAAAGTATTTCTGAAAGCAATTGTTAAACTGAGATAAATGTTTTTTTAAAAACAAATTTTATGGGAGAAATCAACTTCACTGATGATCACAAACTGCTACAACAATGGGAAACACTGCCACAGTTGTCATTCCTTTTTCTTTGTTATTGTAATAATCTTTATCCTGAAGGACAAAACCTTCACTATTAATTTCAAAAGGTACATGATTTTTTCAGGCAAGGAAAGATTGAACAATTTCAGTTTTTCAAAGGTGTCATCCAACTATGCTAATTTAGTTAAAAAAAAAAAAAAAAATGTAGCATGCCATTGCCAGTATCAGGTTACTTTTTTCATTAATATTAAATGGCCAAATCATTTCTGAACATTTTAATTTTTAAATACTTTTGAGAAACTGTTAATTACAAGAAAATACTGTCTCCTATCTAAGAAGACAACATGAAAAAAGAAAAACAATATATTTGGTATGGGCAGGTCAAAAAATTTGCTCAATTTGTTAAGTAAAAATAAGACATTTTCTTATTTTTGATATTAATCTTATTGAATAACATTTACTGTTATGTTCCACTATTTTCTGGCAACTTCACAATTTCATCCCATGACAACTTTTATCTTTTTGAGTAAAATACTGCAGTAGGTACCTTGTACACTCTTCCAGGAATTCAAAGGTGTAATATTAGACATTACTTATCTTAGTGGTAATTCATTTTGATTGCCTTTCATCTTGTTTCAAAGTATCAACTTTTTATTGCCTATCACATTTCAGTTAAGTAGGTGTTTTTTTTTTCTTAATATCTGTGGAAGCCATACATCAAAGCAAATAGCATAACCAAGCTGAAACGAATGATTTGGATATTTTGAGTATGTTACCTCCCTTATGCATCATATAATGATTATTCTCAAGTAATAATCTTCATTTGCTTTCTATCAATTTCAACTGGTCTAACGGCCTCTAGAACATATATTTTTTTTTTTTTTTTTGTTTTTTAGAAAGAAACCTATTTCCAACATTATACAGTAACTTCTTTATAAATGCTTCTAAATGCAATGCCATGTAATGACAAAACCAGAATTAACTTTTAAGAGAACTACATATTTTGTGTGTATTTGGACAGCAATCTTTCATTTATGTATATTTGGTTGAAGACCAACAAAGTTTTTTTTTTTTTTTTTTTTACTTTATTTTTCATACATTTTTAACCATTTTTCTAGATTTCCTAGAAAATTTAACAAATAAATTAGTGTTTTTTTCATGTGCTTGTGGGCACTATGTCTTTTTTGTTTTTGGCATGAGATGGCATCACACTGTGGTTCTATCTCATTTTTTAAAAGATTTTGTGAAATAAATTTTGTTCTTAAATTTTATTCATGCTGGGTTGTTAAGGCTTTTAGCATTTTTTTTTTTACAGTAAAGTATCTTTGTATTATTGATAAGGATTTGTGGTTGTGTTGGTAGGTGATGTAATTAAGCTATTGTCATATAAACGGCAAGTTAACTGGTATGATAACGTAGTGATTGTGCATCCAATATCTGTATTGTTTGAATTTTTATTACTATTAGAGGAACATTCTCAAAATGGGTAAGTGAATTTATAAACAACATTGCTTTGTTGACGTTTTGATTTTTTTGTTTTATCATTGTTAGAGATTTTTTTAAGTGATATTAATTCAAAGTATAATATGTTTGTTTTTGTCAATAAATGATGTGTATCTATGTATGAAATTTCATAATTTTTTGGTTATCATACACAGCAACCAAAAACGTTTTGACATGATATCCCCAATACATGAAGAGACTATACTTGAAAACCATCAAATAAACACAATTTAATACCTACAGACACAACTCTATCAACACCCATAAAATAATTTTCATAATTAAATTTATGTTCCAATTTTCCCCTGGAAACCAGAAAAATGACCTGAACCAAAGAAAAATTAAATAAAAAAATCTTAAACAAAATACTTTTGTTTTTCAACTATATATGAATGAATGAATTTTTAACTTACCATCTCTTTAAGAGACTGATTTGGATTCCGATATCCACCTCTTTGGAGTTTCATCATTCCAATCACGGCTGTGTCACTTTGAGAACAGACACAATAGGAAATTTTGTGATCTACTTTGATGTCTGTATAAGAATTAAATGTGTAGTTGCTTTTCAAAGAAAAAGAACCTGGTAGAGAAAAATTAGAGATAAACCATAAGCGATAACTTGTATTAACAACATAGAAATACAGCAGAAATCATTGGAGGTTTCAAACTGAAGTAAAGATGCAACAAAATTTAATTGATCAATGGAACTGTGAAAGGGTAATGCCTCTTAGAAGAATATTTTATGGAAAAGAAAATTTTTTTTTACAAGTGGCATAATTAAACTTTAGGTTTTAGTAAAAATAAAGACATTTTATTAAATTATATCAGTTTATCTGGATAGAATCTCAATACAATGGCTTTTTAATTTCTTTTTAGTAAAATCTACATTCTGAACATAAAAGAAAAATTCTGTAGGATGTAGTAATATTTTTATACATCATTTTCTATAATCAATCATTACTTACTTTGGTTTTTCATTGATCTTAAAGATGTCTTTTGTAAAGCTGGAGATTCATATTTGGATGTTGCCTCTGCAAAGGTTAAAGGTTATTCCTCAATTAAAACAGGAGTAAGAAAACAATTTTGATTGATTTAGAAATATTAATCTTAATGAAATTTCTAATATTAACTGTTTTTTACATCATATTTTCATTTTCAGTAGTTTACTACAGATTAGCAATAGGAATCAATAAAGAGAATAAATCTTTTCTATTAAAAAACTTAAACTCTGTTTAAAATGTATTTAGGAGGCTCTGGGTGATCTGGTTTAAGGAATAGAGGTTCATTTACTTACCTACTGGCTCAGATAGTGCTTTCTGACCTTTCTTTGAGTTTTGGGGGGAATGCTTTGTATTTTTTCCTGAACATAAAAAAAAAGTGATTTAAAATTAGCAATCCAGTCTACATTGAAAAGCATATAAAAATTTCTTTGTGACTATTTGTGTACTTGATCAACATTAGCAAGCAAACCCAACTAATCAATGTGTTTTGTCTACACACTTTACTATATATTTATATACTTTTTTAGAAAGTGTAAAATTGCAAATTTATGAACTATAAATGTGAAAGTTAACACTGAAAAATAGGATCCTGATAATGTACACATGGATCTTCTTTTTTTTAACTAATTAAAAAGTCCCAAATCGTGATTCAAAGTTGCTTTTTCGTGATAAATTGGATGTCGGCTATAATGATTTCCTATTTCACATTAGCCATACATGAGAGACTAGATTTGTATTTAACTGGGTTATATGATTTGAATATGCTGTCTATGGAGTAAAGAAAGACTTGGAAAAAGTACTCTACATAGAAAAAGAAGTTTCTGATAAAAGGCATAATAATAAAAACTAACAAGTTAACCTCTAAACAGTCATTTGTTGTAAATATCAATGTTCTTTTTTGTAATGACTAATCAGTTAGTGGAGAGACATAAAAGATGAAAGTGATATAAAGCAGCAGCCAAACTAATAAGTCAATTCTACACAGCAGATTTATTAGTAGATCGTTAATTTAAACATTCCGTTAATACCTCCTGCCAGGGAATGCTTACTACAAGAAGTAACCTTTTTACCTGGGCTATATTTTTTTTATGAAAAAAAAAATAAAAAAAATGGATAGATCTCCAGTTATAATGTTCTTATTACTCAGATAAATTGGTTAATGGTGAGAAATATGTTTCAGTTTAGAAAGCAAAGAAGATAAATATTAAAATTATAATTCCACCATTATTAGAATTATGCTGAGTTATTTGTAAGAGTACACTCATTTTTGTGGCTTTTTTCATTGAAATTTAAAACTATCTTTAAGAAAAAAAAAAGAAATCTAGATGAACTGAACCTGAGCCAAAATGTAATAAAATAGCTAAGATGAGAATACTAACCTTTTATATACTCTATTGTTCACACAACACAAGGCCCAAAAGCCACTTATAGTAGAGGGTTACTGAATCGGATTATTTTATGGATGTAATAATTGTAGATATCTAGGATAGATAATTGTTAACCATAGCCTTGAAGTGGTTAAGATAGTAGTGATTAGAGAAGCACTCTCACATACAAGGCTGGGAAGTGAGGATTGGACAGCTCCAACCCAGATATGGGAGCAATACTCACTTTTTGGTCTGATGTGACTCTTGAACTCCAACTAACTTGTTAAATAATAATAATTCATCTCAGAATTTCAGACAATGATTGGTAGTCAAAAAAATTGCTTAATTTTTTGTTTCATAGTAACCACACAATTTAGAAATTCTAAGAAGATATGAGTTAATTTTGTTAAAAAATATAACTTTAATATTTAATTTTGGTTTCAGGTAGAAGAGTTTTCACAGTATTTTAAAATATATTATTTCAATAGTTTTTGTGCTCAAGCATAATTTAGCAGTGCAATACAAGATTTCACAAGCAGACAAAGGACAGCTGAAGACAAAACATGAAACAAACATTCAGTAGTTGTTCACAAAGTTCCCAAAAGGTAATATATAATTTTACAAAAAAAAACAAAAAAAAATAAACAAACAACAGAGCAGATGAAAAAAGTTGTTTTTTCTTTAGAACTGAGGTCAAGATATGTAATTTTAAGCCATTATAAGAACAATAAGATGAAATTCTTTCAAACACTATGTATACCCAATGTACACATGCATTCTAGTCCCAATTGAAATCTGATTGTCATCAAGGAGTTTTAATATACTGTAGTATAATATTGATTAAAGTTGTGAGAAGGCTTTAATGTTTAAAATGCTATGATACAGATTAAAAGAAGTAGCTTTGAATTATTCAGTTTTTGCTCGTTCTTTGATACTTCAAATGACATTCTGCAAAACCAATTATCATTCAGGAGTGAAAAAAAAAGATCAGTTGCTATTTGTGATGGGGGATTTTGTCCTTGAGCAATTACTTATCTAAATATTTATGGGCCACAGGAATTTCAAATTGCATTTGAATCAGAGAAAATTTTAGCAAAGTACCTCTTAATTGTTTGAAAAGTTTTCGATAAAATGAGCTTGGACTGTTTCTGTGTTGAGACATTTGAGTTTCTGAACCTGTAAAAATAAGGAGCAATATTTATTGAAAAGGGGGAATGAAGCCAAATGAATGGCATGTTGGTTATTCTTAAAAACTCCTGGATAATACTTGAAATTTTACAATCTGTTGAGAAGAGATTACTTTCTTTTTAGAATTGAATGCTTTAGGGTTTTGATGCTTAATGATGCCGAGATATTTTTTACTCACGACTTTGCTATTTGTTATATAATTGAAAAATAAAAAAGATTCCAGTTATAAGCAGAAAGAAAAATAGGTTTTTAAATTAATAATTTCATAAAAGTTTCAATGGAATTGGTTAATTTTGTTTTCTGAGTTTTTTTTTCTTTTTTCAAATCAACAAAAACAATCACTATAATATTAGAATTATTAAGTTTTTCTCTGTATCTTTCCATTCTTTATCAATTTCTCAGCAAAAAATTGTCTCCCAAACAAAATTATGTTCAACTAATATTGGCAAGTTGTTTAATTTAAGAGGAATTGAACTTATATTAAAATCCTCTATGTATAAATTTGTTGCTGTAATTTTTCCGCAAACTAAATATCCTACCTTGAGAACTCTCTTGTTTACATAAACCACAAAAAATGCAAGCCTTTAAGGATACAGGAATGAGGCCTTCACAGCCTTGACACTGCCAGTCGGTTGTTCCTTCTTGAGAGTCATTGTCAGACTCATTGGGATCTTCTAGAATAAAAGAAGCATTTAATATTTACACACTTAATCCAGAAACTAAATTATATTCATGAGTTTTTTCTGATAAGTTGTTTTTTTTTTTTTTCAAAATAAAGTGAAGAGCAAAGATCATGTAAGTGGACTAAATGAACCAATGTTTCATATTGTGAAACATGTTCTTAAAGTAGGAATAATATTCTTCTAGCAGGGAAAAAATCATCTAAAAAAGATTGGAAGGTGTAAGAATTTCTCTTAGGCTAACAATAACAAGTTGCTACATTTGGTTTAAACAAAAATAAAGATATATTTTAATAATAATGAAACTAAATCAAATTCACTTAACTATACTTATTAGGTTCATAATAGTTACAATTTGTTCTCAAACTAGATGTCCTACCTTCATGACTCTGTCTTCGGAAGCCACAGAAAATACAAGTCATTAAACATTGGGGAATGAGGCCATTGCAGACTTGGCATAGCCAATCAGGTGGTCCTTCATGAGAGTTCAAGTTAGACACATTGAGATCTTCTAGAACAAAAGAAGCATTTAATAGTTTACACACTTCAGCCAGCATCTATATCGTTCACATTCATAAGTTTTGTAAGAGACGTTTAGTCCAGATATTTCAAATTCTTAAATTGCAGTAGTTAAATAACAAAATAACTTCAAGAAAATTAGCCAAAAGCATTTCACATAAGCATTAGAGAACTTTTAATGATGTTATTTTTGCAGTTATATTAATCATTATGAGGATTTTATATATTAGTTATAAAATTCCAAGTCTAATTTTTGAATTTTTGCTAATTACTTCAATTTCAGAAACTGTACTGTTCTTTGAGATTTTATTTTTAAAAAACAGTTATACAAATATATAACAAAAGTCTTTCTCCAACAATATGATAGCAACCAATCAGTTGTAACAGTAATTGATGTGGGTGCTATATTTGACTGTTTAGAATAGGAACTGCTGTAGTGGAGGGAGGAATGTAACAGAATTACGGGTATGGATTTTATAAGTGAGTGAATCTATACATTGTGCAGATTAGAGAAGGAATTAACTTGATAATTTTTTAAAATTATTTCACACCAAGCAAGGCAATAAAGCCACTAAAATGCAATAAGTTACTGTGAGAGAATATGAGAAAAAAACATTAAGAGAGAAGAATAAAAGGAGAGGAATTAAGAAGACAGAAGATAACAATTGGCATTGCATTTAAATTTTTGAAGATCAAAGTTGACTAGAAAGCAACAAGCTGAAGAGTATTTCACAAACAAGAAGTGCAAGAGAAGAAACTGCTAGCATAGAAGTTATTGTTGATGAAAAAAGCCAAGATGGCCAAGTTAGTAAATTTGAATTTTGTTAGCATACCAGAAGTACTCTGGAATTTGTTTTTCCTATTAAATGGAATTCAACATTTTGAATTAAAGAGCTTGGAGAAAGTGATATATGAACATAATGTTTCACAAGACATTGACTATAAAGGAGTCAGGTGTTTGGATACAAAAGAAACTCAGAAAAAATGTCAGCCTAAAGAAAACAGAATTATCTCAATGGTTAAACTTTCTAAGTAGACTGGTGGAGAAAGAAAAGTGATCATGAAATAAAATCCTAGTTGGATTAAGATAGATAAAAGATGAACAAAGATTTCTTTGTGGACAAATGATTACTTGCTGTTGTTGATCATTAAATTTTAAGGTTTAAAAATGTATGGTTAGATGGAAAATTGGATGTTGGAAAAATTATAATTTTACCAGGTAATGTTAATTGTTTTAGGGAATTTAACTGGTTATGTAGCCAGTATGAACCCAAGCTATTAGTGGTGGGAAGAGCTTTTCCAACCAATATCTACTAACTTGTCAACTGGTTGTAGTTAGATAGTTAGACAGAATTGGGAAGGGTTAAACTTATAAAACTGTAACCCTTGACAAACAAACTTGATGTTATTGTTTCTACAAGCAAGTGTTGGTTGTCTGTTCTGAAAGTTGCAAACTTCTTTATTTTTTTTCTCTAAATTACCAACTTTGTTTCTGAGAGTGTTTCAACCAGCTTTGCCAAAGACTTCCTCAAATCAAAAACTTAAACTTAGCATGACACAATTTTTAATCCCTCTAATTGTTGCTATTAAGATTTATAATATTTTACTGTCTAAAGACCTGGTAATTGAATCATGGGATTAATGTTTTCTATTCTACAAAATTATTTTAGTTTTCTCTACCTAATGCTAATTTAATCTGTTCATCAAAATTCAATTAGTAATAATTCAAAGATTAAATTTATCTTACAAGCCACATGCTTCAAAATATTCAAATTGTGTTTAATAAAAAAATTACCTTGAAACAGATTAATAATTTAATCATTTAAAGGAAATTTTGTTTCAGATTAATTAATCTGATGAAACCAAAGATAAGGAAATTAATTATTACTTCACAAGTGTATCGAAATGACTCATCTGAGTATTAAAGGGATAAGATGCACATAAAACAATTTGGTGTTCATCACTTTTATAAGTGTGTGACACTAATGTTGGAAAATAAGGGTTAAAAGATATAATGAAGGATAGATTGATCAACTACAATGAAGAAACTTAAAGATTTTCATTTTAAGAAGAAATTAAGATTCTCAGAGAATGAGAATTGTGGAAAGGATAATGTTATAATAAAGCAATGTGGCAAGTGTAAAAGTAATTAATTACGAAAGGCACTGAAGATAATCAAGATAAGCTGACTCAGCCAGGAAAATGACCAGAGGACCTGAAACTGAGAACAATAGTCTTAAGTTTATAAAACAAGAAAGTTTGTAAACTGTAATTTTATAAATAGGAAATAGGCAATCTTGACAAATGATAATCATTAAAAATGCTGGTCATCAAAACACAGTAGAAAGCAGAAGGGCAAGAAATAGGGATGGATAATGACATTTTCAAATATGATGAAACTGTAAAATGCCAATTTGGCATTGATGTATGACGGGCGTTAAAAAAGTGTTGATTCAACATATGGAATGGCCAGAATCAATGAAGATACAATCTGTTGTCCAGAAATGGAGAACAGAGATTCTTCATAAACAAGTATAGAATTCAGGGAATGGCCAATCAAGAAGGGCCATGTGTTAAATACCAGAATTTTGACAAGGTGAGAAAAAGACTTGCGTAGGTAAATTTCTGAATGATAATTTTAATTCTTAATTGTGACAAGCCGGAGAACCCTATATAAGCAAAACATCGAGGAGATAAGGTCTTCTAACTGAAGAAGTAAATTGAGTCATGCCAAGACGACTGAGAAGCCATTGGCTGGGTGGTAGCCATAGTGGCGGGCACAGTTAAGACAACAGGAAAGGTGGGGAATTTATTAACGCCCTTCAAAAGTTGTTAGTGTAAGCTGCTGATAGATGAGAGGGAGAGTGTGGGTGGATCAATGTCCTGTGACCATACCCCATGAAAGAGGAGGTTGTATCAAAAATTGCAAGCATAAGCAATTTTAAACAATGGACCTTTGTTGGATTTAGGGGACTTACCAAGGCCCCAGCCTACGTCCTGCCTCACACCAGTGTGGAGTAAGGGCCCATATAAACAAACGCATGAGGATGAGAAGACAGTTCACTTTGGAGTTCGTCTCACAGATTGTTCCAGAGTCTGTAATTAAAACCGACCAGACTGCCCACATGATTCCTGCCAAGTACAAGAACTTCAACTTTGTAGAAAAACTACGCTAAGACCAAGAAGTAATCTTCACCCTTGTATCAACAAAGTTAATATGAAAAGCACCTTGAAGTTAACATCGAAAAACAGAACTCAGATAATGCCGAAAAGTAGTATTACACTAATGCCAAAACTTATTAACTGTGTGTCATATTTTGTTTTATTTTTCATTTTTATTGATGCGCACCTTCACTGTAGTGGACCTGACCATCCTATGATTAAAAATTCACAATGTGGGATAGGACAAAGGTTGGGACTGAACAGGTTACTTCGGTAACTTATTGTGGCATCATACATCCTAGACAAGCCTGGGGCTTGGGGACTGCATATTTGGATCCGACCAAAGACCTTAGAACTCAGAAGGTGGTGTGTTTTTGGTGCTGTGACTGAGAACAGTCACAGCACCAAAAAGTGCTATGGATGAAGGTACCATATTAATAGTGACTGTGACCTAGGATCAGCCCCCAGAAGGTGTCACATTCGTCTCTTTACCATAGATATCTCAAATTCTCTATTCTGTCCTTACCAAATAGAAAAACATTAATTTCCAAGTATTTTGTATTACTTCCTTTTAATTAGTTTGTTGTAAACAATTTTCTACATTAAAAAATAGTAGGGTAGAGGTAGAAAATAAATTTATAGCTTAAATAAAATGTAAATCCATTATATTCAATTGGTAGATTAGTTTTTTATGGCTTATCAACCCTTTGTAGGTCATCTAAAGCAAGAAAATATTTTTAGATTGTAATTTTTTTTTTTTTGAGATAATAGTGACACAAGTCTTACTAATTAACCTATAGGTGGGGGGAGAAGAGGTGGTTTCATACCTTTCCCAAAGGTATTTGCATGTAAGTGAAGATAACGAATGTAATGGGAATTGGAACTCAGCTCTCCAATTCCAAGCCATTATCCATTACGCCACCTGCACATTTAAGCTTACAGTACCTGGTATTTTTAAGCAATCACTCATCTAGATACAGACCAGGCTCAACACTGCTTAACTTTGGTAATCATGCAGGAACTGGTATTTCAATGTGATGTGGTTGTAAGGCTTCTGTGTATTCAAGTAATAAATATAAAGATGTGCATAGTGAACCAAAAATCTTATGAATGATAATGTATTTCTCAAATAGATACACACTACCACCTATTTATGATATTTCATACAGAAGGGATAATATCAAAATTGGTTTCTCCAAATATAAGGAAGATAAAGATATTAGTCTGAACTAATGAATGATAACTCACTTCTCAACAAGGAAGCATCCTGGCATTCATAGATGGTGAAATTAATTCCAAAAAGGAGGAGAAAAGAAAAATCAGATGATGCAAAAGAATAGGAATAAATATTCCTAAGAATCCATGCTGGTAGAAAGAATGAACATCTTAAAAATTGCATGCAACTAGGGAACTAAATTCAAAGACATTTAGCAACCACTTAAAGCAATTTAAAATTAAATGGTCAAACAGTAAACATATATAATAAAACAGCCAAAATAGTGGTAAACATTGACAGTTGGTTACTGATCTATGAGGCTATTAGAAATACTATCACACATTTTATAGCCATGTTCCTAAAGTTTATTCTTTTACTATTATGTAAAGACTGTGCAAACAAAAAGGTTGTGCCAACAACTTGATGAATATGAATGCTGTACATGATCATGGTGATTATGTTGATGATTGAATTGCAGGAACATGAAAGTTTATTCCTTTTGTATTCTGTAAAGAGAGTGCAAAAAATGTGGTGCTAACAACTTGATGAATCTGAATATGGTAGATGGTGATGATCTTGACAGAAACATAAAACTACATGAACTACATTGAATATGATGGCAAAAGAGGACTAGTGTTGATTCTGCCAAAGTGTAAGTGATTGGGGAAGATAAGCAAAAATGATAGATGCCTTATTCATATCAAGTACAAGACAGTGTAAAAATCAGTGACATCCATAGAAATAAGTAAGTTTCAAAAATACACTTTCACCTGATTCAGGGTGGAAAATTTATAGTGACCAATAAAAACAGTTTCTATAGATACAAATATTGAGCCAGTATTTCAGCCAAGAACTGTTGCAAAAATGTCTGTATATATTTCACTAAATAAGTCTCTTAAGTGTATATAAATATCTGTTAAATGCACATACAAATTACTAGCAAGTATGTAACTTAAAATAATTTTAATTCTTATACATATATAAAACAAAAAATATGTATTAGTGTAGGCATATAAAATATATATAATGCATGTATTATGGACACCATCATGTTTGTTAGCATCCATTAAAAAGATTTTTCTGCAGCATTTTTTGTACTATCAAAACACTTAAAAATGTTCATTATTAAAAAAATAAGAAAAAAAAAAAGCAGATTATTCCAATGCTTTGATTAAACTAAAAGTGAATTTTAAGACCATAATAGTGTACAATATTACTTTTTTGTAATTTCTTTGAATTCTGTTGATTAGACAAAAATAACTTTTTTTTTAATCAGGCGAAAAAGAAATCTTAAACTGGTTTTAAATCATTTACATGTAGGAAATGCTAACCCTTTTATACTTTACTGCTTTGATTTTGTTTACATTCTATGCATATACTTAACTATGTAAATGCAACAAAATAATTTCTAAGATATTAACTATATTATTCTAAGTGTCACAAATATTTTCACTTTTAAATCATTTTAGAACTTATATAGAGATGAATTATCTTTTATTCTTGGAGGTATGCCATACAAAAATACTTGTGGTAAGAGCTACAAGATTTAGAATCAGTCAGGGAAATCTTAAATTCATCTTTTTCATTCAATCATGAATAATAAAAAACTATAAAAAAAAAAAAGTAAGCTAATTTTAAGCTCAATTCCAGAAAATCAACACAAAAAGCATAGAATTTAACCAACTGAATTTGTAATACAAAAAATACTAGAATTATTCACATTACAAAACTGATAAGTAAAATGTAATAAAGAAAATTTTCTGATTCTTACAAAGAATATCAGTTTTTAAACTTAATTTATAGAATTTCAATCAGATTTGAAATGATATTGAAATCAGCTGCAAATCTTTTGGAAAAACTCTATATCCCGAGAAAAATAAGAAAGATATCAACTTGATTCATAAGACTTAGAAATTTTAAGCTGATAGCTGACTTATGTAACTGTATTTATATAGACATAATAAAATGCACACAAATTGTGGCATGTAATACAATACATAAATAGTGCTTTAAAGGTTAAACATATAAGCAATAATTAAACGAATAAGGTTCAAATAATTAGTTACAACCAACAAGTATTGTTTCATATACTTATGGGTACTCTGAAGGCAATTCCTGTAGGCATTGTATAGAGTATCAGAGGTCAAATTCTACAGTTGTGTATATTTCAAAGCAACTCAATATTCCATTTAACCAACTATAAAAAGTTATATACCAGTTAATATTGAAATATCTAGAATGATTATTACATAAAGGTGAAGAAGTCATGCATAAATATGAATACAAAACTGGCTTATCAAAAATATAAATCAAAATAATGGTATTTTAACCAAGAATACCATGCCATCATATTTACTTTATTAAAATGACAACAAATGGCATTAAAAAGATGGTGACTGCCAAAGTGTAAGTGATTGGGGAAGATAAGCAAAAATGATAGTTGCCTTATTCATACTAAGTACAAGACAACATAAAAATCAATGACATTCATAGAAATAAGTAACTTTCAAAAATACATTTTCACCTGATTCAGGGTGGAAAATTTATAGTTACAACCCCCACCCCCCCAAAAAAACCCAGTATTTTTTGCTTCCAATGCCAGGCAGCCATGGGAACATTCCCAGCATCTCCGACTGTGGCCAAAATAATCTGTGATAATGCACTGTAGGACCAGAGCATGCTGTTTCATATTGTCAGTGAAAATTTCCTTATTGACTGAGAAACCTCTCTCCACTGAGGCCTGTCCATAAGAGAGTACCAGCAATTTGTGAACAACTTTCCACAGATTTTATAATTTTTTGTTGCTTGACAAAGAAGAGTAGAACAATGTGTCCAGATGGTCTTCATGCTTGCTGAAATTCTTGAAAGCAATATTTCCAGCAGCCTCTTCCTTGAAATATCTGTACTGACTGATGATGTCATCACAATCAGACGTGCTGACTTGTTTTTTGTTCATCATGTGGGAAAACTTCTTTCTAGACTTTTCTGTGGCAAATCTTTTTTCACAAATGGACTCAGGGTTCAGCCATGCAAGTGACCTTATAAGAGGGTATCTAAGGGGAGAAATTGTCAGAACTTTCCCAAAGATGGTGATGAACATTGTCTTTGTTGCAATTCTGCATGCAAACAGATCTTTTGTTGACACATTTCCTTTTGTGGATAAATTTTGCATAGCCCTATCTGCCAGAAATCCATACTCGATCTTTGCAGCATTTTTATGCATGTTTGGGTTTGACAAAGTTCTTACAAATTCATTCAGTTTGGAAAATGTAATTATCTTTTTAGTGTGCTCTTTCTTTACAAATCTTCTTAACAGTTTCATGATCATGCTAAAAAGATCATCTGCAAGGAAAGCAAGCAACGGTTTATCACTCTGATATTTTATCAAAAATGATTCAATGTCTTTTGAAGCATATGCAAAAATTTGCAGTTTCACTGGAAATAAAACACCATTCATGTTTGGCAGCACTACAGGGAACTTGGTCTGGATACATTTTTCTGTTTTTTTTTTAAGTTCACAAATTTGATGAAATCTGGCCAAGTGTCTAGGAGTTGTTCATATGTTTGTACATTTTCTAGCCATCTATGGCAGAAATACAAAAGTAAAGGGACAGGGTTACCAGATTGAACTTTTAAAGCCAAGCAATAAAAACCAAAGAAAGTTTTAATATATTTCAAATTCATCATTTTTTCACACTTACAACAAAAGCTAGAGATACAGGTCATTATTAACCTGCAAACTTTAAAAATAACATTCTTCTTAGTTTTTCAAAGAAGCATTTTGTATTCTAAGACACATCAAAGTCACATTTTTCATTCTCTCATCTTTCCTGTCTATATTTTCTTTGAGTCAAATTTGATTCTTAAACTTATTACTTTTGGCAACAATTTAGAGAAATATAGTTTACACATTGACACGGGATCTGTAATGTATCTATTTTTCAGTGTGAACTCTGGAAAAGGCTCTGTCAATTTTCCAGGACATTTTAAGGTTTCCAGGACCTGTACAAACCCTGTCAAATGCAATGAGTGCTATAAAATGAATATTGCCTAGAACAATAGCTGTTCACAATGAATACCTATGACAGCAAACTTGCCTTTCTGGCCAATATATTAGTGCTAAGAAATACATTTTTGGTTAATATTCTTGTCCTTTGTAACAGATTATGTTAAGCATAATAAATAAATAGAAATATGGAATCCAATATGCTAGAAGTTTGACATAGAGGATGATCTAATAACAAATTTAATAACTGAAATACAATCCCTAAAAACATCATCATTGAACATACATTTTGTATGCATATCTATGTTGTGTATATGTGTTTATGTATGTACATATTTACATTTAATGTCATTTTTTAAAATGCTAAAAGCTTACTTGTCTCCAAATTTAGTTCAGTGGATGAACAATCAATGTTAATGAGACTACACCTAAATAAATATGAAGTTTTAAATCATTCACTCTATCATTTGCCAATCTACTGAGCTTTGCTCATGTAAATATCAGATGAAAAGAAAATATAATAATAATAATGTAAATGTAAATAGCATAAATGATCTTACTTGTTACATGATTTGTTTTGGCAGGACTTTTGGACTTTTCAGCAGAAATCCTTTTGGAGTACCCTATTTGATAAGAGATGATAAAAAAACAGAGTTTATTGCATTTAAATACTAAATACATAATATAGAATCTCTTATTGGCTTTAGCAATAAATCCACTAAGTGGCAAGGGGTTACTGAGTGAGAGAATATGAGAAAAATCATTATTAAAGAGAGAGAACAATAAAAGAACAGGAATTAATAGAGACGACAATGATTGACATTGCATATATTTTTGAAGATCAAAGTTGACCAGAAAGCAAGAAACCAGAAGAGGGTTCCACAAGCAAGAAGTGCAAGAGAAGAAACTGTTAGCATAGAGTGTATGGTAAGATCCAACCATTTCAACTGTAAAATTATGAGTTAAGTAATTTTCTTGAGTTTATGGGAAAAATTTTGAAAGAAACAGGAAAAATAACAGAACAATATTTTATCCTTCGTGCAAGTCGGTTCAGCACTACAAGTTTACAAAATGATCAATATATTATTCAATTTTTTTTTAATATTTAGGACACTGAACTTAATCCAGCAAAAATAAATTATTTGCAATTGAATCATAGAACTGCAATGATGGGAATTCATTTAAGTCACAGTTAATGGGTTAAGGTTGGCTGTTGTTTTACAGATCTTAGTAAAAAAATTAAATAACAGATTGTAACCAAGTTAACATGATAAATACATTTGGTTAAAAACAAAAAATATAACAAAGTCAAACTAGTTACCTTCCCTCTCCTACATCTATCAAGTCATTACTGTTTTATGTGCATTGAATAAAATTATCTAAATGCTCCTTATCCAGGAAAAAAATGGTAATATTGTTTCATATATATAAATGATTATAAAACGCTAGCTTTAGATAGGAATGTCCTTATGTCAATACTTTTCTTACCATACTTGATCATTAAATCTCAGAGGCCCATAAAAGCCTATGGTAAAATTATATTTCTTTTATTTCAGATTAAAGAACAAAACAAATAAAAACTAATTCCTTACTTCTCTGAGAGGTTATCAATTCTGATATTTTTATTACTGAGTTCATAAAGATTCTAATCTAGTTAAGATTCATTTTTCTTTTATTATTTGTGCTGCCAAATAACCTCAACTAACTTAGTAAAATTTAAGAAATTTTGAACCGCTAACCAGGTAGGTCTTTATTGTTTAGTATAATTAATAAAATGTATAGTAAATTGATTATAAATAAAGGATAACCACTTGGGATCAACTGATCTGATATCACATGAATTAGATATTTTTGTCTTGGGTATTCTTACTTTGGCATTGAATCAGTGATTCAAGACAATTGTTAGATGGTAATGAGGGCAGTGAAATCAATGATTGTCCTGGAGTGGATGATGAGAGGTTTTCCCCAATGGCACATAAAAATATCCCAATCCAATCCCAAGTAGTTGATGCCTTTAGAAGTAAGAATAAAAAATTATGTTATTCAATGTAAGTTTATAAATTGTATGGGCTAGTTAAAAAAAATACCTTGACTAAATGCCACTAAAGAATCTTCTTCACAAAGGCGTCCACTTTTTCGTTTCTCTAAAATTTAGAAAATTCAAATTAATAAAACAAAAAATAAAAAAACTAACAAACAAAAAGAAATAAAAATTTTCTTTGTGGTTTGTTATTATAATTATTATTATTATTATAATAAACAACTTTTATTTAAATCTTGTGATAATTTGATATTTTAATGTACATTATCTGAACATGTTGAAAGTTGATATTAAAAAAAAAAAAGACACCTGTTTGTGTAAATAGAAAACTTTGGTCCTTGCCTTATCAAATATTCATAAAACAAAATAGTGCATCTTTAAGGTGATCTAGTTCAACTTATCTACAAAGAACTGAAATCATTTTTTGCAGTAAAGTGCTTCCATAGTATTTTGAGGCATTGTGCTAATAGCTATTTAAATCATGAAATTTAATTAAAATAAGTTCTGATAGTATTTATACTATTTACATTGTTCAGACGGTTGTTTTTATCGTCAATATCTACAACATTTTGGTCTTCTACAGGTGATATACATTGCAATTTCGAACTGAACCCTTTATTTAGTCCATGGGAGTAGATTGTTCTAATTCCACTGTAAATAGTTACAATACCTCATCTCAGAAATATAGACAGAAATTTTGATAGGCTGAATAGTTAATCCAATAACTATTCACTGATTTAATTTATATCATCAAATATAGTATATGAGATTTACACAATTGAATGAAAAAAGAGTTTTGTTAAAAAATCAATTTCTTATTTTGGGGAAAAAAAATTACATAAACTTTAACATTAATTCTTTTTTTTTTTTTTTAATTTTAAAGAAATATGTAAGATTATCTTAGAGGGAAAGGTCAAGAAATAAGTAATCCAGTGGGATACAAAGTACTAATTAAATTATTAATTTGTTATACTATAAGACCTTGGAAAGTATTTATACGTTTTCATTATAGATCTGGTTATTGGTAATGAAGTATGAGAAATGATATATCCTCTTTTAAATTGACTGTGTATCTGAATTCCTATATTTACCAGAGAAACTGGAGCAGACACTCTTCCAGTTTTATTATTCATTACCTATTCATATAACAAGGAGTTTTACTTAAGTGACAGGATTTTTCTGTGTCAAAATGACCCAGTGAAGTCTAGAAACAGAGAAGGAAAGAGCAAGTAATCTACTTGAGAAGCTTATGTAAATGGATAGCAGAGTGGGAGGAAAAATCAGGAGACAAAAATTACTTAGAGCAACAAGGAAAGGAAATTGTGGTGATCCATGATCTCTTAAATCCTGACAGGGCGCATTTAATTAATGAAAGAAGAGGATGTACTACTTTAGTAATGTCATTTATACACACACACACATCTAAAATACAACTTTATATATATATATATATATATATATATATATATGTACATTGGATAATCTATATTTAAATATGTACTGGAAGCCAGGAAAAAGTTCTGAAATAAATAAAAAAATAAGTAAAAACAACAATGAACGTTTTTTAGAGTTACGTAGGTTAACTCAAATTTCAAAGTCAGTTGGAGACTTGAATTTTACGATCACATATATTGTAGTGCATATACTAATCATATTAGGACATGGCTAGTTATAAAGCACCAATAGATTTCTAAATTTTTTCATTCAATGCTGCACTGTATATAAAACATAACAATGCAACAAATTTCAGTTTTTAGTTAGGCCCTTTTTTTTTTATCATACTGCCATGTGAAAGATGATCTACTAAATGAAAATAAAAAAAAAAATATGAATAATGTCTTGTATTATTCAAAATAGTTTTATAATCAGAGATGTTTGAAATCTTAATTTCTTTTTTGTTTGAAGATGGTAAGAGTTGTTTGAAAAAATGTTTGTGTCCAAAAGATTTAATAACAATAGTGGTTTCAGATAAAGGAAAGATAAATATCTTATTTAAAGTATAATTCAATAATGTTAAATTAAATTCTTTACCTAGAAAATAAAAATTTAAGAAAGCATTGAGAAAAGTTTTTGGAATGCATTCTTATATTAATTTTAGCAAAGGAAATTAAAAAACATTTAAAATATTTAAATATAAAATTTCATGCTATTAAAGATCATCATGACTGCAAAATTTATATACAAATTAGTTCTATTTATTAAAAATAAAAAGTTCAAATTGAATATTCAATAATTGTAGAAATTAGTTAACAATAAAAGCAATTATAAAATGTCCAAATAAGTTGTCAAGTTCTGAATGGCTTCTTGTAGATTAGTTTTATTTGTAAATTTAAAAAAAAAAAAAAAAGAGAAAATTATTCAGAATACATTTTTTAAATGGAGGAATAATAATGAATTAAATACTGAATGCTAGTATACTAAACTCGTAAACAGATTTTTTTTCTGCGAAAGTCATGACAGCTACAATTTGCACCGTAATGTTGACAAGCCAAGATTATATAACTCTTCAAAGATGCTCTGAAACAAAATTGATAGACTACAAATGAACTTTGCTCTACATTTATGCTCTCGTATTGTAATTAATCTTCATATTCTTTTGTTGTTATTAAGCAGTAATCAGCTTTAGAATATCATGGGTTCTCAATATCGAATAAACAGTAGTCAACAGACTTTCTGCATCTATTCTCTTGTACTGGTAATCAAAGAAATATTTGCAGTGGTAAGAACAAAAAATACATTGAGGGTGAGCAGTTGTGAGATGAAATGTCAAATTTTAGCACTGACATTTTGACAGTTGAAGCAACTAAAAAAATATAGGCAAAATTGTTGATCTATAAGGAGCAAGGCAAAGCAATACTTGTTTAGAGCATCCTCTCATCATGATTTTTTTTTTTTATAACCAATGCTTTTTGTTATTTAAGATTTTCATGATATGATTTTTTCATGTCGAAATCTCAGTCGAACTAACATATTTGCTATTATATCAAAGAAAATCACACTGCTTTAGTGAAATAATGATACAAGTAATTATTAATTTAACTGTTAGTAAAAAAAATGAAAACAAAATTAAAAAAAATACCTTTGTTACAAATCACTAGAGAATCTTCTGAGGAAAGGGGTCCACTTGTCCGCCTCTCTAAAACAATTCAGGGAAAAATTAATAAAAAAAATAAACTCATAGCAAGACAAAAAAAATATCAGGTATATTTCTTTATAATTTTAGTAACATGAACCAACCATCTTGTTACTGCTAAAAGTTCAAATAAATATGACTTGTAAGACATTACCAGAAATACCAATACAAAGCTGAATTTAGACTTTGAAACTTTATGGAGACATAAAGCATATCATGAAAACTGCTGGTCTCTGATAGACTAGAACTAAGCTAAGTCTATGAAAGCTTATGATGACTTGGATAAAAAAAAAAAAAAAATCTTTATACACCCAAGACATGTCATGAAAATTAAAAAAAAAAAAAAAGATTATGTAATTTCTAGCATAATATAAGAATCCTGTTTATCATGTACATTAAGTAGAAAATTAGCCCTCTTGTATGTGCACATATTTCTAAAGAATTAATTCATTTTACTTTTTTTTTTTTTAATCAAACATATTTTTATTACTTCAAATGTTATTTTTAGTGGACCCTTGTATTTGAGTAGACACTCCATTTAATTTTTAATAGTATTTATTTCGTCTAGCTGAGAAAACTTAAGAAAATGTATTGGAGGGCACATTTCCTTATTAAGGTTTCTTGAGAATGCAGGCTAATAGACAAAATAATACAGTTTAAAATTAAACATAGTGTCAACTCAAACATGCTTGTGTAGCCACTGAAAATGATGCTTAAAGTAATAAAAATGTATGAAAACAATATATAAATTTTTATATACCAGGATGCTTAAAAAAAAAAAAAAACTCCAAACATATACTAAAAAAAAAAATTTAATTTAAAAGTTTAAAATTTCAGTGTCCCCTCTCCTTTGCGGGCATATCTAGTCACATTAATGTAAACATCATTTTAGTTTACTTAAGTCCCAAACGTTGAAACACATCACATGAAATTTTTTTTTCACTTCATCATAGAGTCAGAGTGTATTTAAGTAGTAATTAATCATTTATTAACAGATGTTCAATTCAAGGCCACAAACAAGAAGTGTATTATTACTTATGCTCTCATTTCTATAAAAAAAAAAAAAAAAAAAAAAAAAATCAACAAAAGCCACTAGTGAGGTGGTTATGTAATCAAGCATTTTTTGCTATTAATTTATCCGCTATAAAGATTTTAATGGTTGAAAATAAAAAACTCATTATAGATGTTAGTTTTTTTTTATATTTCAATTTTTAAATGTACTCAAGTGGCAAAAAAATAGTTAAAGTTAAAGCACATGTCAGCTGATTCTCAAATTCAGCTACTAGGTCACTGTAAAAAAAAAAAAAAAAAGTAACCTCAAGACACCCACAATTGGTTGACCCAAATTTGGATAAGCTACTGGGCTCCCTATAAAAGAAAGCTTGAGAAGAAGAGAGTATTTTGTTCAGTGAGGTGAGCCACTACTTTCTTCTTTGTTACAAGTTATTATTATGTTTATGCATTATGATAACAACAGGCATGAATAATCTTGCATGATTATTATATTTAATTGGTGATGTGTACCTATGAATATTACACACACACACACACACACAGAGTAATTAACAAATGTTAACACTTCTATAGGAATGCTTTTATTAGAAAAGCAGAAACTGATAATATAATTCTGAACTGTCTCCACTTGTTTACAATTCTTGTCAGCAAGAATTGTCTTAGAATTTTCCACAGTTGATAAAACAAAAAAACAAAACAAACTTAATCCTTCTATGGGAGTATTTTTTTCTCATAAAGGTACTCCCACAGAAATGTTAAAATGTGTTCCTTAAAAAAGTGGCCATTCAATTTAATTAATGGTTAATTACTGAAATCATCTCAGCAATTTATCAGGAAGAAACATAACAAAAACTTGCCAAATGATCAAGTGAACATGGCCAGGGGGAATCAGATGTTAGCAAAAGCTGATAAGACAGGTTGGCCAGCAAGAATAGCTTCATGATATGCACGTGTAGAAATAGAGTAATTTCTAGTAGCAGAGCTTTCCAAGTAAACATAGAAAGAAATTTGGCAAACAAGTACATCCATTTTGGTGGTGGATTAAGATTAAATGTTATCTAGATCTGTAATAGCAAGTTAGTGAACCCAAATGAATTATGGAAGGCCATGAATGAAAAATGTTAGAAAGAAGCAACTGTCAAATATAATTAATCTCAGGAAAAGACTGAATAGATACAAATGAGATTTTTATTTTATTTTTACAATTGCATATCATAAAAACAGAAAATTATAAAACTTACTTCTTGGAAGAGTTACTAAAGTAGTGGAAGAACGTTTTTTCTCATGCTTTTGAAGTGGCATCTTTGGTACTAAAGTAAGAAAAATAACAAAAAGAAAAAGATTTTTAATAGTTTTAAAATTTTATACAAACACAATGTCAATGCTATAAATTTCCTTGAAATATTGGTACCAAGTAAAAATCATATCCATAAGAGCTGTTAATTGTATATTAAGATACAAAAATAGAAGCACTGTATAAACAAAGTAATGTAACACCTTAACAAAACATTATTTGACGATGGTTAAAGTTATACTGTAGAAAATATAATATTCTTCTACAGTGAGAGAATTCTATTTTTTCAAGATCTTGATCATGTTAGTAAATAATGACTTATTCTCAATAAAATACTTTTGTATAACCTTTTATGATAGAAGATTATACCAAACTTTAAAAAGTGGTTTTGTTCAATCTGAAAACTGGAAATATATTCTTATTCTTGTAAAAACGTGTTTGCTTTGGACTTTAGCAACTTGCAAGAATAAACAGATGAATATGCATGCATAAATTTAGGTATTTTGCTAATTTATGATCAGTTAGGTGGATGTTGTAAGTAGATGAAAGTAAAAATTTATTGCTGAAACAAAAACACATAACGTCTGCAATGAAAGACAATAGAAAATATATTTTAAACTGTCAGAATAAAAGTTATCAGACAGAATTTAACAAAAACAGAAATCTTACAAAACACAGATGAATGCTTTTAGGTTGTTATAAAACAACCAAATTCAACAAAATGTAATAAAACACTGAAAAATGAAAAAAAAAATAGTTAATATAAATAAATAATAAAAAGGGGAAGAAAAAAAAAAGTAACATTTTTTTTGACATAATTTTTTCATTGCTTGTTTTGAAATTGAAGATTTGAATGAAGTCACTACTTACCATCCTCTGCATTTGACTGAGAAAGTGAGGATATATTTTTATTTTTCTCATTGGTTTTATCTATCTTTGGGTTCATTTCTTTTGAATCAAATACTTTTAAAATATCTAGTTTGTCATTGGAATTTGTTGAGGAATTAATTTTATCTGATCCTTTGCTACTTAGGTCAGCATCTTTACGATTGAAGTTGCTTGGTGGAGAGTTGAACCCAATTGAAATGGCTTCAAAATTTTCTGTCTCTGATTGTAGTAGACTATGGTTGTCAGGCATATCTAAAGGGAAAGAAGTGCAAACGTAAAAAGCTGCAGAATTATCAACGAGAATCATCCGAAAAACTCACTTATCTAAGGGACTTTTTAACTATTATCCTTATGCCTTTTGCTTTCTTGAAATTTTCATTGAAATGTTCTCCAATAATTATAAAGTAGAAAAAAATATATAGTTTGCAATTAAACTCTTCAGATAAAAATATCAAAAGATGATGTTAAAAAATATGTTAAATTGAAGCAGCCAACAATAAAGAAGTTCAGAAATGCAAATAAATAATCTTTTAAAAATTGCAGAAATGATAATATGTAATATATAATTTACTACATTGTTTTCATATATTGCTATAAACTGTAATCACGAAATGATGACTGAAGATCATACAGATTTCAAAAACGTTTTGTAAGTTCTAGAATTTTAGTCATATTACTGATGATGATGATGGTGATGAATACTAACTTCAACATTGTATTTCTTTGAGAACAAAGAAAGAAGAACAAAACAATAAAAAACAATTGCATCACCAACTGATTTAGATAAAATAATTATAATTAAAAAAAAAATTAAACTGCAGTGAAGAAAAAAAAGTTAGTTGAACAAATTCATAAAGGTAACTGTATTATTTATATTACAAGAATGCGAAAAGATTGAATCTAAGACTTGGTTATCTTTAGACAACTGATCTAATCTTCCAAACAACTTATAAATTTTAAAATTTAAACTAAATGAAACCAAAATTTCTCCATATTAGGATGCATGCAGAATTAGTCAAACAGTCAAAATTAAAAAAAAAAATACACATTTATAACAAAAGCCATGTTTATGTAAAATATTTCTGAAAATTCTTATAAAATAGATGATGTTATTTATTCCTATGAAAGAATACAAACATATTCTTAACTTAATAATTCTTCTACTGTCAATTGATTTTTATTTTTCATTCATACCAAATACATAACGAGATTTAGGAAAGAATTACTTTTTAATCTTTGAAGTAGCCACAAGCAAAATTTTAAAACATAATAATCCTTGTGTTCTAAACTTTAAGTGAAGCTTAGGTCACTCTGCTTGTATCATTGGTTCTTTGATGCAAATGGCATTTTTAAAGTGTAAAATATCTTTCAGATTAGTAAAAAATTCAATATATTTCTTGTATCAAACAATTTATGAAAAAAATACAATATATATTGTGTCCCAAATAATTTATTAAAAAATGAACAAAAAGGGTATTTGCCAGATTATTTAGAGATTAAAGCAAATGATCTTTATAAAGTTAAGAAAAATAATTAAATCTGATGATAAAACAATTGAAAAATTACGTACTGAGAATTTGCTAAGGTTGCAGTTGATAGAAATTACCTGAAAGACTTGAATAGCAGTAAAAAACGTGTTACTGAATGTTAGTAAAACAAACTTTCATTTGTGCCAGTTTTTCTTACTATTGATTGTATGTTTTTTATTGGCACTAGGCAACAAAATTTACTTCAAATGCTTAGGTTTTTATTATAATTTATTATAATAAATAAGATTATTTAAGGAAAAGTTCAAAGTTTAAAATATATAGCATTATAGAAACAAATGCATTGTTGGAGTAGTGGATTCCAATTTCCTTACTGCATTTTTAGTTATAACCATAAAAATATATAAAATTGATCATAATCATAACTTTAGGTACATCCAATGCTATTATAATAGTTCGTTAGAGCAATTATTTCATATTAGTAGTAGGATTGTTGAACTATTAAAATTATTGTTATAAACTCTTATGTCGGATCTATATCCATTTACATTGGCTTACAAACTCTTATGTATATCTATTTAAAAAATGAGAAAATCTACATTACTAGGTTTATTATCTTTTTCTTGTTATTTTTTTTTGAAGTGTTACAGCAGTTACTGTTTCTATTTATACATATTATTTTTTAAGAGGGAGTTATTATATCACATAGCAAATTTTACAAGTAAATACTAATTTTAGGAATTTTTTTTCTTTTTTGTCTTCAGAATTTGTGGTAGCAACCAATGAGACAATGTCAAATTCTATACCATTAACCCATATTGCAGGTGCTCTTCTCATGACAGGTGGATTAAAATTAGTGACTTATTTTCAAATTAGTTATTAAATATAACATTTATAAACATTCATGAAATCTAATTTATTTGAATATATATATATATATATATATATATATATATATATATATATTGGTACATCTAATATATATGATTTTCTGGGAAATCAATGCCTACATTAGTCATGAAAAATATCATTTTTTAGTGATGCAATATAATAAACAAAAATGTCCTTATGCTACCATTTATAAATTTGCACACAAGATATATTCTTTCCTTAAACAATAACTGAATTTGTATAAACAATATATAGTTTAGTGTTTTAAAAAAATTATTGGGTCTGCATTTTGTTTTTTTTTGCATGAACCTGTCGAATTAATATATTTTCAAAATTAAATATTATGTAAAGTGGGTGGTAACTAAAATACAGAATTCTTGTAAAACCTTTACTAGGATAAACTGAAATTTCTAAAGATGATGTATACGGAAACTTTTAGTTTTGATAAGCATTTTTGCTGTGATTCTTGACTAGCATAATTAGTAATTCACTCACACAGAGCATGAAAACATTCTAAAATATAAACATATAGTGAGACAACCATGCAAAAACACAGAAATTTTTGGGTGCTTGTTTTGATATATGTAAAAATACTAAGTAAAAAGTAAAACAAAATACCAACGTTTTGTTAATGAAATAAAAACTGAAAATTCAATTCCTCTAACCTTATTAAATGATGACTTAATTGTTTGTAATATTACAAAAGATTAAAACTCAATAAAGATCTCTGGTAATATCCTCTCATAATTGTGCTTGTCTCTCTCTTTGTTAGTTTGTACAACTATTATATCCTGTCAATACTTCATAAATAAAGGAATATTCATTCCATTTTGATCAAGTGGAAAGAGAAGAAAAGGCACTATTTAGTTTCAGTGAGAAAATGAAAGAAAGAAGGTAAGTGTTTAACATCTCCTGCCAATATCACATAAATAATTGACTATTCTGTTTTGATAAATAAAACACATATCAGTGATGCTACCTGCTAGATTCATATTTAAGATTGTCATTGCAATATTTTGTTAAAGTTGTTAAATTCAAATATTTAACGATATGATAAGGGAATTTCTATATGGATATTTTATTGACATAGAATTCGCCACAAGCTTACTCAATTATTAACTTAAGAATTAAGATTCATCAGAATATAAAAATAGGAAAACCATGAAATTTTCACAGGTCTTTCTAGCTTTTGTATAATTTTTATGTTGTTTTGTATTGCTACTAATTTTATGAGGGACTTGAAAAATTTACTTAAAAACAAAACACAAGAAAGTTCAAAAGGTTAATTTTTCTTATGGTTGACTCAAGCATAATGCTTAATAATGGAATGCTATGAGTGAAGACTCAATTTATTGAGTTAATGTGAAAGTTAACAGCATTTTTTTTTAATAATATCTTTTATTCATATAAATTAATAATCATCAAAGCATATTTTGTGACTTTCTATGATACTATCCAACCTTTCAGATAAATTGTATATTCTATCATAAAATAATAATTCCAGTTTTGGTTTAATAAATTATTCAAGGAATTGTTTTATGTTTTGAACTTGGAAGGGCTGACAAGACAAGGGTCATTACACATTAACAGTTTATCAAATACCAGCAAGCCATGATTAAAAAAAAAAAAAAAAATCCCTTTAAATCTCAATGAGAATTCTTTCCCTCATAAATTCCTTTTGAGATAGTGGAGGCTGACTTGGATCTAAGTCAACTTTTCAAATTCTTGTAATAACTTTTTATCACTTATGATTAACTTGTTCAAAAATGACTTTTTTCTGTCAAGGAAAAGAAAAATGTTTTTAAATGCTTAACAAAGTTTGTTTTTCTAAGTTCAATTCTCTAGCTTATGAATGTTTTAAAGCTTGCAAATGATGTATTACAGTTGATTGGGTGTACAAGCAAAAAAGAGCTGAGTAATCTTCAAATACATTTCTCAGATTTTGTTAAAATATTGCAAAAGATGACACAGCATCAACCTATTTTTTTTTTACATGACTTATGGTGTAGCATACTGATAATTCTTGTTCCATTCCATCCTGTTTACCAAAACTGAACATAATACAATGATGAAACCCTGGATGAAACATGTCATACAAAAAATTATTTTCCACTTTGTCATTAATTTTCTTAAAATTGTTCTAGTATATAAAAAATGTATATATATATATTTTCTTCCATGTAATACAATAATAAATAGTAAGTACAGAAGACAAAAGCCTTAATTATATGTTAGTAACTGCTTCATGTTATATTACAAGAACTCTTACATTATTTTAAAGATTACAAATTAAAGAACAATCTTGCTATTTTATTTAGAACCAATTATATTTTATATAAATTTGCTTTTTCATCATAATGCTGTTAGCTTCTATTGTTATATTTAATCAGTATATAATATAATTATGTTGTTTTAAAAAAATGTGCGTAACTTTCAAGAAAATATTTTGTGCAACTTTCACCTCTTGCTTATATTATTGTCACAAGCAGCCAATAGAAGAAAGTTAAATATTGGCTGCTGTAATATTCTCATAGAAAATGTATTTCTCCTTTCTCTATTTTATCTCAAATCTACCAGTGTACACTTACAAAAGACATTAAAAACATAGTTTGTTAAATAAGTAAAAGATTTAGACATATTTTAATTCTCAACAAAAACTGATATTTTTTTCTTTACAGTTTTTAGAGTAATGAGTGAAATATTTATATTTTCCAATTTTCTTTAAAAATTGAAGCTTATGAACCAAATATTAAGCACTGAAATCAACTTTTAAAATATAAAGAATATCAAATTTGCATAATTCTTTGGATAGGATGTTAGGAGTTACATGATGGTCCAAATATCATGTGATCGAACAACACTAGGTTACATAGTACCAGCAGCAAGGAAGAGTCTGACCTGACTTTGTTTTTTAATCTATGTGACATGCCAATAACAAGACCATTGTTAAAATGTTTGATATTGGGATAGATGAAAAGAAGAAGATTTATGCCATTCCCAAGATTGTTAGACAGATAGCAGTGAATAAAAGATGAAACCTCATCTGGAATTCAAATTCAGTTTGTTGATTTCATTCTTAATCCTGCTGTTATGCAACTTCACACTGTCAATGGTTTATTACTTTGTTTTGTTTAGCTTTTTTAAATCAATTCTTCAATTTTTTTCTTAAGGAAAATCAAATTTTAGAGAAGTTAGGTTAATTTTAAATTCACTGCAATGTTTTCCAACATGATAGTGGCTCATTTGACCAATTTCGTTATCCATGCATAGAATTTAAGGGATGTAATTGCTGCCTCACACCTATTTATCCAACAAAGGAGAGTTTGTTTAAGAAGGAGATACACACTCTTTTTATTATCCATGTTTTAGCATTTATCCTTACTTATCAGATAAAATGTGTTACTTATATGCAGAATATACTATGCATTTGATATATGTCACAGTTATATTACAAAATCTGGTTATATTTATAGACTAAGATATGTTAAATATCTTACATTTCATTATGTGGGGTTGGTTGTTAAATTCTGTTTTATATAGTTTTAGGCATTCCATCATAAATTAACTTAAGGTAAATTCAAATCTATACCATAAAACAAGTTTCATGCCAAGTGGAAAAGCTTTTCTTGTAAGATAAAGTCCATAAAAAATAAATACAAAACTGAGTTTACTTAATTTCACAAACAAGAAAATTATTGCTGGTGAATGATGAATTACTGCATAAAGTATGATAAAAAAAGTATACATTAACACTTTAGCATTCATCATGGTGAAACCCACCCCACAAATATCAGCTCACAAAGTTCAGTTTGTGGTCAAAGTCTCACTGATTACGTGACTTCCAGTGTTATATGCAATGATGCCATCACATGCTATGGCAGAATATACATGGGGCAGGTTACAGTGGATTGAATATCGAGAGCTAATATTTATGGAGTGGGTTTGGGTGGGTTGAATGCTAAAAGGTTATAAATAACTGGAAGCCACCAGATGAGAGCAACATCTCTACAAGACATTTATTCCTGAAAGAAAAGTTTTAATGTCATATTTATATTGCAACAGGATATTTTTGATCAGATAACATAATTATACAGAAAAATGATTGCCAGCTTGTTAAAATCAGAATCTGATAATTATGCTTTTTCTCATTTAAAAATTTTGTTTAGATATAAAATATTTTCTTCCCCTTCCAACTAACAGTAAAATATATAGGGGCAGGGAAGTAAAAAATGTTACTGGTTCTAATTACATGGAAAAATGAAAAATATACATTTTGACTTGAAGTAATTTTAAAATTAGCATTAGTGAAAAAAAAGGAAATGAAATAATGATTATTTGAACACAAAAAAAAAAAAAAAAAAACTTGGATGGAAGTAATTATTTACCTTGACTGGATTCTGATGGGTTGATACTTGGAAGGGGCATAATTATATTTGATGGACTGACAGACAAACACTGTTCTAATTATAGAAAATGAACCAGTTAATTACAGAACTGAATTATGTTCATATATAGATTAAAAGTTTGGAATATCATTGTTGAAATTAAGAATGTAATAAGATGAAAATATTTGATAATTTTTTTAAATTAAATAATTTAATATTACTAATAGCCAATTAATTAAATCTAAAAATACTAACAGAAGAGAAATAATTACATATAGAAACATCTTTTTCAAATAGATTATAATCACTCATTAAAAAATATACAAATGCTGAAAAAAATGATTTAAGAATATTTTGTTTTAGAGTTTAATCTATAAAAATCTCAAAGGTTAGTCATTCTAAAAACTTCATACTGTCCAAATAAAATGAATAACTAAAGATTACCAAATTTTAATATTATCTTTGCTAATATCACATTTCTCTTGCTTAATCTGCAATTGGTTCTGAGATGCCTAATCTATGCTGAATAAAGTTTGAACTAACAAAACCTTTATTAATAACATAAAGAGCACAATATTTTATCAAACTGTTATGGAGTAATTTTGAAACATTTTACTGGAATGTCGATATTTTTTTTATATTGGCCAAAGTTTAAAAATTTGTTTGAACATATTTAAAACATTTTATTCAACTTGACTACAGCCAATTTTACAAGGATACAAATGGACTTGCTTTGGTGTACAGGATGCGAAAGGTAAACTGTTGCTCTGTCTACATTTCTGAGATGAGGTATTATGTACATTATTTGGACTATTGTCCTCATTTTTGTTGCCATATTTATTACAACATTTCGGCCGTTGTACACTCTGGCCTTCTTCAGGTGGTTGGAATGTTGAACTGAACCCTTTATTTCGCTCACTGGGGTAGACTGTTCTAGTTCCATGTGCCATGTTTAATGGATGTCAGTTATTAGTTATCTCATCAGTTATCTAACCAATGCCTTTATCCACTGTGCCATGTGTCCTCAAGGAAACATGGCACAGTGGATAAAGGCGTTGGTTAGATCCAGTGACAGGACCCAAAGAGTGTGAGCTCAATACCCGGTTATAGCAGTGGAGAACTTTCAGAGGGAAAATTAACAGGAGATAACTGATAACTGAAATCCATCAAACATGGCATGTGGAACTAGAATAGTCTACCCCAGTGAGCGAAATAAAGGGTTCAGTTCAACATTCCAACCACCTGAAGAAGGCCAGAGTGTACAACGTCTGAAACGTTGTAATAAATATGGCGACAAAGATGAGGACAATAGTCCGAATAATGTAAATAATAAACTGTTGCTATTTTATATTTTTAATTTCAGGCATGCATGTTATTTTTTATTTGGTCAACTGCACAGTATACTAGGGTCAGTTGGGCACCATCTGTGAGTAAAAGAGCACCATGACGCAATTCACTCTGTCAGAAATTTGGAAACAGCATGCTGTACTGCTTGGAATTCATACCAGAAGCTCCAATATGAACATTTGAGAATGTTTGGGTATCAATCTGAAGACAGTGCAGAGGATTAAGAAAAATTTGGATGAGCCTAATGGTGATCATAAAGGTATAGCAGCTCAGAAAACTCACTCTGATCATTTTGATAAGCAGAGAACACACAAATTTGTTGGTAAGGGCCTCAGAATCAACACGGAGGCTTAAAGCAAGTGCCTTGAGGTGGTAGTGCTGCCCTGGGTCAAGAGGGTGGCTGCTGGAAGACCCTATATCTGGAAACATGACTCTGCACTATGCCACACAAGCAGGGGAACCATGTTTTGGCTACCAGACAATTTCTGCAGCCACATCACCTTTTAACACCAAAGATGAACTGAAGGTAAGGATTATGGAAGCATTCACCAACTTAAACAAGGAGGTTGTTCAGAAGAGTTGCAGGAGATTCCAAAGTTGTCTAGAGGCAGTGGTTGAAGCCAATGGTGATTTCATTGAATAAATTTACTCTTTAGTATTTCAAGATATTTTTGCGTAATTTTGGTAAACATACCTGTTCAAATGAGATGTCAAGTGTTATTTTCATTTTCATGAAATTTAGACGACAATTTATCCATCACACACTGTATATAAAATCTGAAAGATTTGTCATGATCTATCTAAATAAGCATTTGAACTGAAGCATTACCAATGTAGACACTCTCAAACAATAAATTGCAATCAGACTATTCAATCATTTTTAATATCTACTAAAATTCCAGAAGTTTTGGATATGCTTACCTGAACTGGTATCCACTTTATCTGGCTTTTGAGAAATCATTTTTTTCTGTTTTTTAGCAGGTGATATACTTTCTTTTTTAACTTTTAAAGTAGATGATCTGGTCCAATGATTTGATGTCCTGGTGGTTAGTTCATTTATTTTGGCTTTTTTAGCAGGAATTTTATTTTTGGGACTACTGCTTGCAGCCCTTTTACGCTTCCTTGTTTCAACAGGTTTATTTTCCTGTGAAGAAGAAACATTTCTCTTTCTAAGATTTGAAGAACTTTTCTTTTTTTGAGATAGTGACACATTCTTCTTGCTCATAGGGAGAGCTTGTTTGTTCTTTGTTGATGAGGTTGTACTCTTTCTCTTCTCTTCAGATGGTGCAGATCTTGTACCCATTGATCCCAGACTTCTTTTCGCTGGTAACGCTTTCTTTTTAGGTGAGGTTGACTTTGTTCTCAGAGATGTCCTCTGTCTGCGAGGCGATACTCGAAGTTTTCGTACTGCTACTCTTTTTTTTCTCTTGAGTTTTTGCCGCTCTTCATCTGTTGATGTTGTCACATCACTTGATACTTCATTCTTTGATGAATCTTCAGACTTTGGTAGTGACTTTTCATCAATTGATATCACCTCATCGGTCACCACTACGTCAACCTCTGATAATTCTTCTTCAACTACTGATGGGACTTCAGCCTCTGAAATGCTATCACAATGCTTCTCATTGACTGGTAATGAGAGTCTACTGAATGGTAATCCTTGAAGTTTTTTCATTGTTTGTTGGACTGCACTTTTTCTCTGGTTTGTGGCTTGTTTTCCAGGGGAGGATTTTGTCTTCTCTTGGGCTGTTTCTTTTTCGCATGTACTTTCACTTGATTCAACATTACTATTTTCACAAATGTCAAGATTAGGCAATTTTGATTTCCAGTTTTTCTTATAGGGTGGTTGAGATTCATCTTCATCAATCACCTGCAAATTAGTTCCCATATTTTGAAAGTTGTTTTTGATACCTGTATCTTCATGTACACCATAAGGAGTGATTATTATTTTGGCTCGATCAGTGAGACTATTATCCTCCCATATATACCAGTTCTTGGGCGGCATGCTGTGTATAAACAAATGACAAACAAAATGATAAGCAATAATAATAATAATAATAATTATATATATATATATATATATATATATATATATATATCTCCGATGAGAATGAAAGTAATATATAAATTCCAACGTTCACAGCATTAATCCAAAAGAGGGCTCGATACCGATAGTAGAGCGATAATTATTTATTTATTATAATTTTATCATATAGACAAAATCATTTTACTCACTACAAAGATGCAACTTCGTTTCAGTGCATTTCAACTGCACTTTGACGGGTGAGAATCAAAAATGGTTATGAACAATCCTGCTTGTAGGCAAGCTGTATATGAAACATCACTTCCTTTTTTCCATTTGTTTGAGAAGAGAAATATACATAAAAAAAAAAAAATGAAAAAAAAAAAAGTGACGGAGTGAAACAATAGTGCTTGTTGATAGTAGTTTGGTGAAGGATGGATTGGGTATTTAATGTTGACTGGTCTGTGGAAATTTTTTTGCTGATAAACAACGGTCAAAAGTTTAGGCACATCATCTCAAAAGCGTCCTCAGAGTGAGAGGTAGGGGAGGAAAGACGGAGATATTACATTTGAGTAGGTAAAATTGTAGCAACAGTTCTAGTAGTAATTGGGAATGTTATTTTTGGTTTACTATAAAAATTCTAGAGCTGAATTGCATGTATTTATGTTGGGGTTATCTAATCTATTAATTCTGTAATCAATGAATCAATATGTTTTGTGGATTAAAATTTAGAAATGGTGATTTCCTCTAAAAAAAATAAGGGATGCTAATATAACCTTTTATAATCAAATTTTGAAATATTCCTGGACTGTATAGCATGTAGAATAAGTATGGATGTAAAATGATTTATCTAAAAATATCACTCAGTCACCTTTTTTTTTTATGTATATTTTTCTTCTCAAACAAATGGAAAAAAGGAAGTGATGTTTCACATACGGCTTGGCTACAAGCAGGATTGTTCATAACCACTTTTGATTCTCACCTGTCGAAGTGCAGTTGAAATGCACTGAAACGAAGTTGCATCTTTGTAGTGAGTAAAAAGGTTTTGTCTATATGATAAAATTATAATATATATATATATATATATATATATATATATATATATATATATATATATACACACACACGTTTCATTAAAGATGACACACAAGGTACTGTGATTAAGCATTTTATTTAATTCTTTGAGCCAACAAAGCTAATACATATGTAATTTTGGATAAAGCTGATTACCATAAAAAATTACAAAACATCATTGATGAACCGAACTAAATTCACCAAACTAAACAGAAACCCCACGGAGACCCTAAAAAGATCTGCCAACAAACACATAACATCAAATAACGCTGGTCAGTTCTCTGAAAATCATTGGAGACTACCACTGTGGATACTTATATGGAAATATAAAAGCACACAATCCCAGATACCTGCTACAACCAATCATTTCCCAGATCCCAATCTCTATCTACAAGCTATTAAAATTCTTTAATCACATTATTACCCCATACCTACCCACTAATTACAGCATCACATCCACCTACAAATTCCTCCATATTTTAAAAAAGTACAAAACCAACTCAAGATATCATAGTGTCACTTGATGTCAAAAATTTATTCACAAACTTCCTCATCAATCAAACCATGGACATTATCCTCAACTCTGTGCACACTAATAACTGCCATCCATCAAACCATTTATGCTAAAAAAATTACTACATGCCTGCACAACGAAAGTCCCATTCTATGATCATAATGGCAACATTTATGCCCAAACTAATGGTGTTTGTATGGGAAATCCACTTAACCTGGGCTTCTCCAATTATTACATGTCCCATGTAGAAAACACAATATTTAAGCAGGTCTGTAGACCTAAAATATATGTCCACTATGTAGATGATATTTTTATTTTAGCGAATAATACAAAAGAAATGGATACTCTCAAGACCACATTTGAAAAAAAACTGTCCTTTGTTTACCTACAAACCTAGTCAAAAAAATAAACTCCCATTCTTAGATGTTCTTACAGAATACAGTAAATACACTTTTACCACACAATTGTATAAAAAACTCACTAGTAGAAACTTTTGCCACCTTAACTTTAAGGGTGAATGCCCACTCAGATACAAAATACCAGTGGTAAAAAACTTCCTAAAAAGAGCACACCAGAATTCATCCTCTTGTCTACTCTTCCTTAAAAAACTCAACAATGCAAAACAGACACTAGTTAACAATGGGTTTCCTAACCACCCTATAGACCACTAAGTTAGACTATTTCTTCCCAAACTAAATAATGATAGTGAACGTACAGTCAAAAATAACATATTTTCTACAAAAGCCAAATGCACATCAACTACAAACAAGATGAATCTTCACTTAGAAATATCATAAAGAAATACACTACCTCAATTGACCCAAACAAAAAAAAATGAAATTAATTATCTACTACAAAAAAATTTAAAACAGCTAATCTTATCCTCAAAAATAATAACAGACCAGCAAAATCAAAATTACAATGAACGAACTTTATTTATAAGTTCAAATGATTCTTAAGGAAACACCTATCCAGCCATAACTCCATTAGAACCCATTTAAACACACACACACACAAACTTACCAGACTCCACTGAAACATACTAATAGAAAATACAAACATAATAACCTCATCCACATGTAAAAAAAAAGATTAAAAATAATGGAGGCCTTAATAATAAAATAGAAAAAGCCAACACCCAATAATATTAACTATGAACATGGCCACAATGTGCTGTATTCGTAAAATAAAACATCCCTATGAGTCATAAACAATTAATCAATAAAACATACACACAACCCATATACCCAGTTAAAAAGTAAAAATAAAATCATATTTGATAATGGCTAAAAGCATAGCAAAAAGCACTTGGAATTAAAGAACATTTGGACAGTTTCTACATACTGTGTTGAACACAAGCAAAATTAAATAAAAAGCTTAATTGCAATCCTTCATTTATACATGTTTTATTTAAGAAAGCAGAAAAAAAAAAATATATATATATATATATATATATATATATATATATATATATATAATAATATCAGTTCAAAGAATCATTGATTAAGGATTTTGATAAATAAATAATATGATAATTATCCAAGAAATTATTTGTTGACTAAAATCTGAATTTGTCCCAAGAATGAAGAATAAAACCAGTGTCAATGGTTTGCAATATCAACATATTAACCATTACGACAAGGCATTTGGTCTCCAGAATCATCTTCATCAAAATTAATAATTCTCAAACGGGGAGCTCTTGACTCCAAAGAGAATAAATTCAAATTTAAGAGGAGCAATTTTAGTCATAAGTATAAATTGTAAAATAAAAATAAATATGCATAATAGCAAAAAACAAACAAACAAAAAAAAACAACAACAACAACAAACAATTACAAAATGACAATCCAAAATTTGTGAGGAATTGAGAAAAATTGGAATTGCAAAAAAGAGAATATGACCTCAGGTTATCTAAAGTTGAGAACTAGTAATTTAAATACTTGAAACAATAGTAAAATATAACCATAATGACATCAATTAAATTTTAATATACATACCTACAGAAATAAAATATTAGTTATACAAATGGTTTTGCTACAGATTCTTCCTTAATATAGTTGATTATATAATTTGACCACACTTCTCTATTCTTATCAACATTCCCAAAGCTTTCTTGTGTTGTGTTCTCTGTTTTATGTAGATCATTCTTGGGTGTCCCCTCCTGTTTTTGTCATGCTCTGGTTGGCAGGGAGTGAATCTTGATACAGGATTGTTGGTTGCGCATAACCAGTTTCCTAAGGCTTGTAGTTGCAGTACATAAAAGATAAGTAAATCCTTTTGTGCAACTATGAGATTTAATCTAGAACAGTTATTCTATAAAATGCATACTGATGTTAACATCTGATTTCATTATAATTTTTATTAAATACAGTCACTGGTTTGAACCTTACAGCATAATAACATAAGTAGATTTTAAGGGACCACTCACAATGAAGAAAAATTATTCTCAACATAAATTTTTCCAATAAATAAAAATAAGGAGGAGTAACATTATACCTTTTTGCTGTTTTCTCTCCAGGTTTGGTGTTCACTTTTATAGTGGGCGATGATACATGACTATATGACTTTTGATGCTATATAAAAATAGAAAAAAAATTCAAATTCAAAATCTTTTAAATATGTAGATTTTCTATTTTCATAATGACTAAAAAAATTAAAAAAGCTACTTGCTTTTTTTATCACATGATTTATCAAACAAATTCAAGACTCAAATCAATGTTATCTTTGTGCAAATACAAGACTGACTTTCTGCTCTAATTTAAAATAACTTTATAGTAATGAAACCCAATCAGTGTTAGGAATGGTTGTCAGTCTAGTAATTTAATATTTGATATCTGCTGTTGAGGTTTGTGCCATAATTCACAGTCATCTATTTGAAACAAACCAAAAATAAAATTAATTTGACCCAATGCATTGAATTTATATCTTGTTTTTTCAAATATGTTTATTCACATTGTAGCTGATTACAACCAGTTCAAGAAAGATTACTGATGCCAGATACCTAAGGTGCAAGAAACATTAGAAGTAATTTTAAAATGCACAAGAATAATTTAGTTTTTCTTTCTTTTTAATGAAAGACTTATGTAATTAACAATGGAGATGCAATGGCGATAACATAATGCGAGAGAACAGGAATTACATTCACATCTCTCCACTATCCAATCTTAATAAAAAGTAAATCTATTCTTTTGATACAAAGATATATAATCAAATCTAGATTCATAACTCACCGACTGTTTGGTATTTTCATAATTCTGGATCTTGCTAAGGTTTTCTTCATTTTCTGAAAGGTAATTTAAGTTATAGGAATGTTAATTTTTAAAAGGAAAACAAAACTTGGAAAAACATTCTGGCAATTTTTATTAAATAGCTGGCAGAATGACATGCCATAGTTTCTTTCAATTGTTATGATTTAGAGTTAGCATCTGACATTGAAACATTTGAATATCTCTAGCCATCATTTTTTTTTCCAAATGTAACACAGTAAAATTATGAATAGTAATATTTTTGTAGAAATTTAAATTAGGCCATGCAGCCAAAATTGTCTAAAATACATTCATTTGAAGCACTGCAAAGTGATAAAACTATAACAATAACAAACATCAAATTTATTATTTTTGATTATATATACACACACACATACACAAATATATACACAGGGTGTGATGGGTAAATTGTTGCCATTTTATTTTTTTTAATTTCGGTAAATGTAATTAATACTATTTATTTAAAAAAAAATGAAGCATTTACTTAAATAAATTGTATCTATTAAAAATAAGGTATAAACAGAAAATATATTAAATAATTGTCAGACTTAATCCATTTCATTATATATATATATATATATATATATATATATATATATATATATATATATTTTTTACCAAAATACTGTTAACTTTTGTTAAGAGTTCAATATACCTATTTTTGTGAATAAATACATGACTCTTCCTCATTTGTATGTTATATTTCATAACTAAACTGAATATTGGGCTTGACTACTGTTTACAATGCACATAGTTCTGGAGGAAGACAATGACAAATAAACATTTTACTAAATAGAAATGATAAATACATGTACAGTGTTGATAAATTACAGTGGCAAAGACTGAATTCAAAGAAAATTTAAGAATAACAAGTAATAATTTAAATAAGATATCCTCACCTATTATTGTATTGGATCCACCTTTAATAAGCAATTATATTTAATCTCCAATTACATATTACAATTAACAGTAGATAAAGTAGTAACAATAGTTCAATTTTTGTAATCCAATTGTTCACTGAGGCCTCAGGTGTACTTGTCAAAATATTGTGATTAGATTCTATGATTATTTTAGTCAGTTACCTTTATATAATAAATGTGAATGTCACTGCATCACACTTTTACAACTTTACTCTCAACATATACCATTTTGGAATCAAGTCAACTCCATGAGCAAATTAAAAACATTACAGGCTAGATCTGGACCTGCAATCCTGAAGTTTTAGATCCTCAAGTTTTCATTGCAATTGTTTTTGGTGACTTTTTTACATGATTTTTTTGTGACAAATCTTTTTGTACAGTAACAATTTTTATAACTTGGAAGTAAATTTGGGAATAATCAAAATTAATTGCAAAATCCAGTGAAAGTCATCCAGGAAATAAAAATAATTGTTTGTACAGAAAATAAGGATCTATGTACATCAAACTGTCTTTAAATTTAGTGGCGGCAAAAGAATTATCGATGAACTTTTAAAAGGTAAGTTTAAATATTAAATCAATACTTAAATGCAGCAATCAATTTTGACTACTTCTGTAGTTTATTGTTGCCTGTCGCATCTGCTAGTCTCTGCCTATTGATGAAGGCCCAATCAAGAGCCTGATAGGGTGGCTTTTAAGCTAGTATATAATGTCTGAAGATTTTGCAAGCGTGAAATTCAAGTTATGACTAGAACTATATTTTCATAGGATTTAATGTTGGTAAGTGTTTTTTTACTTGGTCTAGGCAATCTGGGCTTCAAGTACTTTACTAAGTTTTCTTTTTTCTCTTTCTTTTTTCAGTATTTTCATTTTTATTTGAGACTGTATAAGAGTTTTAGGTTTTGGCAAGATGTTTGTTGGTTCCACCAATGATTTTTTTTTTTTAATTATATATATATATATATATATATATATATATATATATATCTATCCAAGTGTAGGATTGGTGTAGACGGAATAAATTCCAATGGCCAAAAAATACTATTCTTAAAAGAGTGCTCAATACAGAGTAGAGCAAATATTATTTATTCAAAAATAACATACATAATTTTGATATATATATATATATATATATATATATATATATCTTACTTATTATAAAACGCAGATCGTGTGTGTGTGTGTCTGTACGTTTATATATTGGATCGGATTTCCTACATTTTTCAACTGATTTCAACAAAACTTCACAGGACTGCGTAAAATTACCTTGCAGTGGTTCTGACAGCACCAAAAATTGGAAAAACACAATTGTTTCTGCACGAAATCAATTTGAAAAACGATAAAACACGATTCTGTCACCAGAATGAAAGGGGGACAACTCATATCGAGTTATACTTATAAAACCCAGGTTGTGTGTGTGTGTGTGTGTGTTCGTTTATATATGGGATCGGATTTCCTACATTTTTCAACCTATTTCAACAAAACTTCACTTTTTTTTGGCAGGTAGTGTTTTTTATTGTCGTGCACACTTTTTTCTTTATTTTTACATTCAGAATGCTTTAAAAATTTCATTTACAAGACAATTGTTTATAATAAAATTCTATTCAATCGATAGACTCATAACAATTGAAAACAATGTTTTTGTTTGAGTTTGACCAATTCGTAAAAAAAAAGAACTAATTAAGACATGCGTGTCCGCCAACCTTAAACAATAATCTTTGTCAATTTTATTTTTTCAGTCTTTTATGATGGTCGATACCTGATCTATCTCTTACTGTTACATCCCTACATCCCCGGCAACGCCAGGCTTTATATATATATATATATATATATATATATATATATATATATATATATATATATATATATATACACACACACACACACACACACAAAGTGGACACTGAAGTCAACACCCAGTGGCAACTGTCTGTTTCATGCTTATATGCAATTGTCAAGCCTTTTTTCAATAAGATGAGAAATAAACAATGAAGTAGGACTCACTGTTATGGGGAATTCTGTTGTTTTTTTTTTTATTTTGTGTTGTATTACTGTAAGAAATTTGATTTTGGATTTTGGCCTGTAGTTTGCCATGATTAGGCTTATGGAAGGTTTATAGAAGTCTGTGGAAACTGTATTCTTTGAGTAAACTTAAATCCATGTTTAATCCTTTAATATGTGATTCTATTTTGAAAATGTGTTTTCACTCCAATTTATATATACAATTCAAAGGAAAGAAAGTTGTGTTTTCTCAAAATAATTAAAAGTTACCTTTGCCTCCATTTGGTGAAAGATTTTGCTGTTCATCTTCAACCATCTTTTCCATTATTATTGGTTCTACATTGAGGTAATCAGGGCTGTTGACAATTTCATAAACTTGCAAGTCATCATCAATATCATCATCAGGAAAAGACTTCATTCCTCGTTTACTAATTCTTTTTGTATACTTTGTTTCTGAATGGGAATGTGGGAGATAAACTTTGTTGCCTAGGGAGGGCGATTTTTTGAATGGAACAACAAGAGGGCTGAATCGCTCCAAACTCTTTTTCTCTTCTTCTTCATCTTCTCCAGGAAAAGACTGCATGCCACGCTTACTGATAAGCCGATTTCGTGGTTGAAAGCTGCAACAAAATGAAAATTACTATTTCTAAGAACTGACCACAAATTCTGCAGTGAAAAAATAGTTTTAGTTTATTGGGTTATTTCAAATAGTGACTTCATTGCTGGTTTGAGGGGACTGATAAGCCTTACATAATAAACAATAAAATTTCTTTCCTTTCAAGATTTGTTCAATAAAATCAGTTTCCATTACAAGTTTACAGATAATTGCATAATAGGGGGAAATTGATAAAATCAGGTTATGTTAAAAAGTGACATATAAGCAAATTTGAGTCATTTTTGGCATATTTACATCTGTAGATAGATTTTTATTTTCAATATTGATAACAATTATATAAACTTATAAAAAATATAAAACATCAAACAAATTAACAAGTGGAAAAGTTAAACAAAAACCCCATGGTGTACTACATTTTAAGAGCTTAAATTTTTCATCCTTTGCTTTTATCATTAGAAAATAAAGGTTAAGAATTGTCAATGAACATTTATGGAAAATAAAGTATTTATTTCTGCTAGTTCCAATTTTTTTTGTTGTATTGCTTAATAATAACAGTTATTTTAATAGTTGCAAATGCATAATTGTCATTAGATTTAAATTCTGATTTTACATCACTAATATAAAGAATACTCACGAAGTGATGCTAGAAGAATCAGAATCTGATGTCGCATCAGCTTTGAAGGATAATCTGAAAAAACAAAAACCAGATTTGAAGAAATATTAATATGTAATGTCCATAAAGTCTTTTTCTATTTTAATCATACATTGAAAGTATAACAAATTTAATTATAGAATGAAAAATTAGTAAAACGTATTGAATGATCAAGAGTAGAGTTCAACATGATGGTCATTAATATCTTTGCACAGTTCAAATTGTTGAGCAGCAATTTAAAACATATCTTAGAGTTAATGATAGTTATATAACAGATGTGAAATGTGGGTACTAACTTAGTTCAATGAAAAGATACCTCCAGAAAGAGAACATACAGAAGGAAAGAAAAGAGGAAACACATATAATGGAAAACTAAAAACATGCAATGAACTTCAGATGAAAGGCATGTCAAGATAGAAAGGTTTCATTCTTAATAACAAAATATTTACTGCTACATAAGTTAATAAAAATGCAATAAATATATTATGCATTTCATACAGACTGCATGTGTAACTGAACAAAAATGATATGATAATTAGAAAATTGTTACCAAAAATGGTTTTGGTATACCTGATTATTGATGTGTTAAAAAAAAGAAAGAATTTTAAATTAGTTAAAACTGCTGATGATATTATATACATTGTCTATTGTAAGTGAAAATATAAAAAATACAAAAAAAAAACATACATAAAAAAAGCAACAGCTTTGTTTTATTAATAATCATGTTCATTGATTTTTATTTTTAATAATTAATGGGTTTTCTAATTAAGCAAATTAGATAAGAGACATCATATTTCAAGACCATTTAATAATTATGGAAATTTGTTATAATAATTCATACCTTTTCTTGGATGGTAGTTTTGAAAGAGGAGATTCTCCATCCTGCACCGTTTTTTCTGCATTTAAAAATGACTTAATTGCATTTTGACGCTGAAATAAAATGGTACATATTTTATTACATAAATAGATTAAGCAGACTACTTGAAAATTTTGAAAACTTTGTCCAAGAATTTTTCTTGAAGTATTTATTTGTTTATATATATTCCTTGCACTGCAAATTCATCTATTCTTATTCTAAAGAGCAAAACTTCATTGAGTAGAGCTTATTGGAACAATGGTAAAGATATGCTGTTTCTAAACAAAACTGAATTGATTCCTATTAAAAGTGCAATTTAAAGGTTTTAAAGATGAAAATGTCTTTCTTTCTCTTTCAATATTTAAGATTGTAAAATTAACAAATACACTAGGGCAGAAATCTCACTGTATAAAAAAACAACCTAACTAGCAAGAATATAGACATATTTTTAGAATATTTTTTTTATTATAGGCTCTATGTTCAAAATGTCTATTAATGCAATGTATTCAATTGTTTTGTTGTCTTTTTATATATAGATTTTTTTATTCAGCCCATAATTATGCAATACATGCACACATAGAATATCCTAAAACTAAGAATTAAGAAGGATATATCAAATTTTAAATTCTCAAGCAAGCATGAAACCCAGTTACAATGGCTTCCAAGATTAATATGTTTATGACTGCAGCTTAATTTCACTCTAATGGTCTATTTCATTTAGGACACAGCAAATTTCTTAAAATAAAACGTGTATTTGAATTAAACATATTTTGGATTTTGATATCATAACTTTTATAAGTACATTTTCAGATGAATTTTCTATCAGTGTAGGCAACCTGTTAACATTCAGGGACACACTGCATTATTTACAAGTGAAAAAAGATAAACCAAAAATTTTTTATATTTACAAACTTTTCTATCTGAATAACAGAAATATCTAAATATTGAAAAAAAAAATAAATAAAAAAAAAAATAAATAAAAAAAAAAAACTGCCTTTGTAAACTCATTATTTTTAAGAAAGAAAATCACATGAATTCAAGTTTTTATATAGTTGATTTAAATTTAAATTAAAAGTTGAAGTACTTGAGCATATTTTTTCAAGTCATAACTGATGTGGTTCGTAATCTGGAAATCAGCATTCATTTTTTGAATAATAACCAAACAATCTAGTCATTAACAGATTAGTCATGAAGTCTTCATTAATTATTCTAATAGAAAAATGGTGCGTTTAGCCACTGGAACATAACACATGTCAATCACCCGTGTCAAATGTTGTTCTATAGGTAAGTAAAAGGGAACATTTTCAAAATAAATTCTTTTACAGCTGAATGTTTTGATCCTTTTGGCATCATTTTATTTGGAGACATTTTTTGAAAACTGACTCTCACATAGCCAAAAGTATATAAAAATGAAAAATATAACAGAGTAATACAGGGTATTGTGTATTGTACACCATACATGAAACATGAGATTACCTCTAAGATTAGAAAGTTATTGGTAAACATAACACAGCAACTAACTTAGTATAGAGAGTGAATGATGAACCTAATAATTTTGCGTAGTGAGTATGATAACTCATTATACCATTTACAAGTTTTATTTTTAAAAGATACAACATATTTGGAAAACATTTGAAAGTAGAAACATAATTTTCCCTCAAAAAATTAAAAATTGAAAAATATCAGCTGATAATTAAGACATGTCAAGCTGTATATACAATGGTTAGATATGTAATTAAATATCAACAAAATACAAGTGCTACCAACTCAACTATAGGCAATCTGGCTATGATAACGCAACAATTGGTAATTAGAGAAACAGTAACCTCCGTAATTTCTTAAAAAAGCAACTTTTAAGTTGAAAGTAGGATAAAATTTACACTTACCACAGTATCAATACTTTTCTCTGGTGAACTGGAAGCTGAAAAAGAAATTTCATGGTTAAACAAAAAAAAAAACTGTGCCTGACATACACGCAATTATACATGTAGGCAGTAAGATTATTTATTGAGGAAAAGTTAAGCAGATAGAAGATTGGAATAAAGATCATGTTGTCCTCAGCTCATTTCTCTGAAATGAATACACTGTTATACAAGTCAATATTTTTACAATAAAATTAGTATTATGACAAACTGGAAAGCTTATTTTGTGATGTGCTTCATACGTTAGGGTTTCATTAGACTGGGCTTTATTGACATTGCCATATAGTTTAAAAATATTTCAAAGAATATTTTATTTTCTCTCAATCTAGTGAAATTCATCTGTATTCTTTTCCTTTTACTCTTCATCACCTTTGTCCCTGACTATCCCACACTGTGACAATAAAAGCTACCAGTGAATGGTGATATATTGTAAAAGTCCAGATGCAAATTTATTGTGGCTGAACTAGCGATCAAGGCACTTTCCAAACAATTTTGTCTCAGTGGATTATTTTCTCTTCTAATCAAAATAGCATTCCCTATGTCAAAATTGTGGTCTGTTTTGTTATGGTGAACAACCAATTTTGAAACTACCTATGTCACTTGTTTTGTGTACATGTGTAGATGTAGCAACGTCAACAAAGCCCAGTTCAATGAAATCCTAACAGATGAAACACACCACAAAAAAACCTTTCCAGTTTGTCATTTTTTTCAAAATTCTGTTTGTTGACATATAAAATTATACAAAATTATAAATTGTTATATTATTCTGTCAACATGGAAAATCTCCAAATTCTTAAAGAATGCGAAATCTGTTAACATCAGCCAACTCACTTAGAAACCAAAAAGGTTTCTTGCTGAAATGCATTGATGAAAAAAGTGATCCCACTATGCACACACAAAATATGCATGGAATTTCCTAAAAGCATCTGAACTAGTATTGGAAAAACTAAACACTAAAAGCTAGAATCATTAAAATGCAACTCCACAAAATTACATTATAAAAAGCTGGAAATGACTCAACTACACCAAAATATCAAATGAATGAGTGTACAATCAAAACAAAAACCCAAGACAAAAACTAACCAACCTATGCATCAAGCAAGTGGGAATCCCAATGTAATAGAAAATCTATCAGATATAATGCTTTCCAATACAGAAGAAGCCCCTAGTTTCAGTTTAAAATCAGCAACTGGAATCCACAAAGGAGACATAGTAGACACAATAATAAAAAGTCACAAGCATTATGATTCCAAGTTCACTAAAGGTTTCATTCAAAGTATAATCACTACTACTATAAAAACCAACAATGTAAATACATTACCACTGAGACACCTAAATGCATTAAAGAACCTAGTGAGAAATAAAATCTGAATTACTGATGGGATCCCCTCTCAGTGGAATGATGGCATGTATTTTCTTGGAATTTCTCAAGCCTACTTCTTTCCAAAACATTTTACCTAAACAATCAAATTACTTCCAATATATTAATAATTGTCTATTAATATATATATATATATATATATATATATATATATATATATATAGTGATACTAACTTACTGGATCTAGTTGATAAACTAAACAAAACTGAACATACAATAGAATTCACATACAAAATAGAAAAAAAAACAATACTTTACCTTTCTTAGACATTATGTTACACTGAGTTTACAACAGCCTAGAACTTATGTCCACTAAAAATCAATCAATAAAAATGACTTAATAAACTGCTACTCGCATCATAACAACAAAATAAAATCTAGAATGATCATTGGATTCTATTTAAGAGCACTCAGAATTTGCAGCCCTTAATATTTACATAGAGAGGAGAAATATATTGAAAATACATTAAAGACCCTTCAATAACCTATTTCATTTTCAAAACAAAAGGTTCATAAAATATTCCAAAATAGAAGAGCTGTCCTTCCTGACAAACCTAAAGAATCTAAAAAATATATTATTCTATCCACTAACTCTATCACAACTAAACTGAAAAGAATTTATCTAAACTCAACATAAAATTTGTCACAACTATATTGAAAATAATCAAAGACTTAATAAAAAACAAAACAACCAGCCAAAACTTGAAGAAATTTATTCATCAAATGCAGGAATTGCCAGAATTAATACATTGGAGAAATCTCAAGAAGTTTAAACAAGAGAGTATATGAACACAAAATGCATTGGTTGTTCACCATAACAAAACAAACCACAATTTTGACATCAGGAATGCTATTTTGATTAAAAGAGAAAACAAATTTTTTATACAATTATTAATATATGGAAAGGCTGGAGGCATTCTATTGATGTGAAGTCTTTGAAATCTTTTTTGGCAAGGTGCAAAAAGTGAAGGAGCATTATCCTGCATGAATATACTTTTTAACTTAAAAGCATCTTAGTTGGGAGCTGTACAAAACACCTTGTCTGTGAACTTACAATAACTCACTACATTTATGTTGATACTATCATCAAATTTAAAAGGATCTCTTATTTTACTGCCTAAAATATTGACACAAAACATTACTACACATTTCTCTGTGACATTGATTGATTATTTCCATTAAGGACCCAACCTCTAAAGCAGCCATCAAGTTCATCCAATGTGACTGTAGATTCATCACTAAAAATTACTGTTGAAAAATCAGACTTCATATACTTTTTATCTAACTTACACATTTTTTGTGATGTTTACTTAAAAGAGGAAGTTTGGTTATATGAAAAGGGAAAGTGTGGAAAGACTTCAAGGGAAATTCAAGACCTAATGAAAGGAAAAAGAAAGAGAAAGAGAAAAAACCTCAAAAGGAAACACTTATATGAAAAGAAAGAAAGAAAAGACCTCAAAAAAAGAGACACTTATATGAAAAGAAAAAGAAAGAGAGAAAAGAAATAGATATAAGAGACATTAAAGAAAAAGAAGAACTTTTATTATGACCAGATAAGTTTGTTGTTTCCCTTATATGTTTTCATTTTGTTTAACGTATTTTTTTGTTTGTACTTTCATGCAAGCCTGGCATGAGATCTTTTTATTACATGTTTCTCTCTGCTTGTTTTACCTTTTCATGTTTGGTAAATTCATGCAAATGTGGCACAAGATCATATGTTGATTTGTAATTTACCTTTCTGAGTGTATAGGTTCCCTTCCCACTATTTTGTCCACAATGTTTATTTTTGACATATTGCTTTTTTGTTTTACCTGCCTTTCATTTTCTCCCTGTTTGTATGCTTTGAAAATAAATTCATTACTTGTCTCTATATCTGGCTTCCTGTTGTTTGTCACCTATTGTGTTTGTTCCTTAATCATTTCTTCTCAGCAGTGTCTGATCAATTGGAAAGAGACCCTTGGGGATGGAAATATTTTATAAGAATTGTATAAATGTTAAAAATAATAATACAGGTTGTGATTCTCCTCTATCTCCGCTATCAATCCGGTTAGAGGACAGGGGAGGGTCGTAACAATAAACATAGCCAATAAGATTTGGCATGATTCCTGTTGTTGATAGGCTTACAGCCATATTATGCTGAAACATTGGTTCTCATATGATCACCAAAGTTAAACAATGTTGAGCCTGGCCAGTACCTAGATGGTTGACCACTTGAGAATACCAGGTGCTGTAAGCTTGGATGTGCAGGTAGTATAATGGATAATGGCTCAAAATTGGAAAACCAAGTTTCAATTCCAGTTAGGTTCATTATATTCACTTAAATACTTTGGGAAAGGTATGAATCCTCCTCTTCCCCCCCACTATGGGTTAATTAGTTGAACTTGTAAAAATCATTACCCCCCCCCAAATTCTTACTATCTAAAAATATTTTCTGGCTTTAAATAACCTGCAAAAGACTGATAAACTGTAAAAAAAACAAATCAATTGATCCTGCTGATGATTTTCTACAAGAAACAAAATTAAATTTATTGTATTTTTAAAATATTAATAAAATTATACAGCTCACCTGAATCAGTGAGGTAGTCATCAAAGTTATCAAATCCAGCCGAGTCACAGTGAATTTCTTTGCCTTCAAGCACATTTCGGCCAGTCCGCCTGTTTTGAAGGAAATACCAACCAATAAGCACTATTTTGATTTTTTGAATTCATAAGAAAAAGAAAGAATGAAAAGTAATTAAAAAAAACTATCTAATTATTTGATTAACCTCGACATTGTCACTGATTAAATTTGGCTCTTTTGTTTTTATTACTTTAGTATCATAATATTAAATATATCTTCTAAAGCAAATAAACACCATATAAATCTATCAAAAATAGTCAGCACTATCAGAGAGAATTATATTATAGGTTCTGACATAAAATCAGTAAAAACACTTGATTCTGAATTAAGACTTTAATACAGTAAAAATTAATATTTTCACTACATGACTTAAGATGGAGTTAAAATTTTCAAAAAAAAGAAAATAATTGTGTGTGTGTGGATGGGGGTGGTAATAAGCCAACTTTTGCAATATGACAATGATTCGTTATGTTTTAACTTTCAGACTTTCCTTCACTCAATGAAAATAATTAAAAATTAAGTAATTATTGAATTTTTTTAAGTTTACTTTTGGTAATCATGATTTTCTAAATCATAATTTATATATAAAATATTTTTCAATAGAATGGTTAGTTTCTCTGACACCAAAAACATTTTTGATTTGTGAATATTTTAAAAGAAAATCTTTAATTTTTACTGGAAATCTAAATTTTGTAAATAGACGGAAAAAAATCTTTGAAGAAGTCCTTTTGAAGATTTTTTCATCCATTTTGTCATTCAATTAACCACCATAAATATGTATCCAATTATTAAAAGTTCCTTAACATAAAAAGACATTTTCTACAGTAATTATATTGGTAATTCTATCCTACAGTTATTCTAGTTATATAATATACTCTAATGATAAAATTACAATGTTGACAATAAAGAATGAAGCCAAACTGTATTGCCACAGCCAGACTTTGAAGAAAATGGCAGTGTATATGATCAACAAATTTACCTGACCTCTGAAAAATACTACTAACTTCATTGCAGCTATTAATAGAAAAATCTTTTCTTACTGCTTATGTTTATATCTAATAGAAACTGATATTTGATTCTTTCCACATAAAACATGATAAAAGTCATGTGGATGTATTTTTTGTAAATCTGGGTGAAAAAAATTATAGAAATTTTTAAAGTTTTATTTTAAATAGTTGTATTGAGAAATAAAATTATTTTCCATAACTGTTTGAAATGAATAAAAAATATTAATGGTTAAAACAAAAATTTATCTTAAAATATAAACACAATTATAAATTATCATAAATTTTAATTAACATAGCTTAAAAAATTAATATTCTTTAAGAGGAGTTGATTGAAATGAATATATAATTTAAATTTATTATGATGCAGTGTGGAAAATAATTCCACATTTATTGAAATGACATGCATATGCACACATACACAAACATGAATATATAATAACTAAAGGCTTATAAACAACAGAACACATATTTACATACACTCATGTATGTATGTATGCATATGAAACTGTTCAAGCATACATGGATTAGAGAGAGAGTAAGACGAAGTAGTAAATCACAACATCAAAAGTAGAACAAGATATTAACTAAATCTAATAATAAAGAGACTGTACAAGCATAATAATGACTTACGTTCCAATGTTGCCTTTAAACATGGGTAGATATCGATTAAAACTCTGAAAGTCAGAAGGAAAGGACAAAAAATTAATTTTGTGAAAACAGAATAAAATTCAAAAGTCAGCAAATATGGAAGATATATTGTTGTGATTGCTACACAGTGTAGGAATCTATACAGAAGTAAGAAAGAGTTTGTTCATTGTATGCAGTTAAACTGTTTGGTGTCAAGCTCTTACATTTGGTATGCATGTTTATTGGACCCAGGCTTTAATGCAAAAGTTTTCAAATTCCCTTATCACATAATTCAGAAAATAGAAACCTTTGTAATATTCAAACTTATTGATTATTTGTTGATTTTAAATTAATTATACATTCAATTTATATTCTGCAAGTATCAAACAAATTTCTAGGCTAAATTGTGACTGTATTTAATTGTGTATTAAAATAAATTCTGTAAATATTATCTACAAATATTTATCATCATATATGTACTATTTATTTTATCTTATTTTAATTTAAAATTATTTTATGTATATATTGTATTTTATTATTTTTATTTTAATCTAATTTTTTAATGTTAATTGTAAAATTAAACACATGGCAATGCTTAAATTTTAAAATGCTATATTTTCAATCTTTAATTATTCTATTATATTGCTATAATTTTATCTTCATGAATTTGTTTTTTAAAGAGTATTCATTATTCTCATATGTAAGTATATTTAATTACATATATGATCTATATCTAGTTATACATTTGTTTTACATTGGCATAAAAAGTTATGCGGGACTATTTTTCAGAACTATATAAAGAACATGCCAGGTATTTAAAAACACACCTATATGCCAAATTTTAACATTCATATTTTTCTTTCAAATGTATAGAGAGCATTAATAGGGTTAGGGTTTCCATTCTGACAAAGAAAATAAAAAACACATTGACACTAGCTGCCAACTACAGCAACTCAAAGATAATCAGCTTCTTGAAAGTAGCTAGGTGAACAGGTGGAACAACAGGTGTTGCCACACCAACACTCTTACAACCTACCTAACTATTACAGATAATGATGGCTATATTATAATGTCCCACTTCTACCTGCAGGATTTCAGGGTCAAGGCCACCATCTACACTGTGTTAAGAAAAATGGTGGTCAAGTTCTGGGTTGACAGAATGGTTATGCATGTTCCAGTAGGACTGGTTCCTCTCACATGAGTAATATAGCTAGCTAAAAATCATGTTATCCCCAACATGTGGCCCCTTAGCTCTCCTGATTTGAAACTTCTGAACTACTATATTTGGTTCATTGTTGAGAGGGAGATCAACCAGCAGACAATATCAAAGACTCATTGAAAGCTGTTATTGTCAAACTAGATGGCCAATATGAAAATTACTTGATCCAGGTATGTAGTTGCTTCAAATGCATAATGAGTCTTTCCTCAAATTTAAGGGCAGTTTTACTGAATAACTTTTATTTTGAATATGCATGCATACAATTTTTCTTTCTTTAGCTTTTGCATTTTAAGTCTCAGAAGTCCATTTAATAGTTGTTTAAACATGATTATTATTACTTTGAAGTCTGTCTGTTGATAACCAGTAGGAACAAACACCAGACTAGTTAATTAATGTAATCAAATTAACAAATTACTATAATCTAATCCTTATTTTTCTGTAAGTTTAAAAATCAAATTAAAAAAAAATATGAAAATATCAGTGTGGTCATTTACGTTTATGATGACAAGTAATTTGATTAATTTTTGAGAATCTTTGATGCTTTTCAGAATTTTGTTAGATGGAATGTTTTAACCAATGCCTATAGTTTTTTGACTAATTTTCTTGTTATTGTTCACACTATATTGATCATATACACCCCAACCTTCCTTGGTTAGTAAGCAGGAGAAAGTTGAAAGAACCTGCCTATATACTATAATCAAATAATTCAATCATACCAAGTACTGACATCAGTAACGTGTACAAACTATTAATCAGGAGAGAACAGGTAATGAATTTTGGAGTTCCAATGGTATGGCCTGTGAGATGCATACAAAGTTCAACAGGAGGTCACAAGGCCAGCACAAGAGTAATGAGGAAACAATCCGAAGAATATAAAGATGCAGAAATTTGACATGATGTAGATGAGAACATATGCACATCTCTCTCCAACCCTTCAAACAAAGTTTAACAACATTCTAGAACATAGTCAACATGCAAGGAAGCCTGGTGTGTGCACAGCCAAAACATTATAAAAAAACAAGTAACAAAGATGAGGAAATTCATCTGAACAAACCACATACAATGACCTGTCAATACTTATTGCTTCAATTTGATGTAATAATTAAAAAACAATTTTCTTGGGGAAAATTCATGCTATGAAAATATATTTTTTTTTTTTTGGTGGTGGTGGGGCTACAAACTGTTAAAGTATATTGTATTGCAGGAAGTTAAGCAAAAAGTGAATGAAAGTGGTATTTAATTTATCCTTACACTATGTATTGGAATATTTTCAATTTGCGAAATTGAAAACTACCTTTTATTTAATGTATTTTTTCTTTTTGGGAGTAGTGTTTGATACTAACTGTAGGAAACATGGCTCTAATTTTTTTCTGTTCAAACAGGTTTTTTATCATTCCACATTGTTATAAGAATAACAGTCACTGTGTTGAACTTGTAATCAATGAATCCTCAGACATCCTTCTGTATCTGCTTTGATTGCATCATAGGGCATTTTTGAGTGATTTTTATGAGTTGTTACTGTGGCCTTTTTTGTTTCCAAGAGTTTTTATTATTTCAATACTTGTGAAGAAATTGTCAAAAAAAAAAAAAAAAAAAAAATACTTCATACATTTCAGTTCCTTTGGCTAGTATCAATTTACTATATTTATGACTCTCGCACCCAAAGTATCTTTACTTTAGTCATCTTTTTCAAGCTAAGGATCAAAGACAAATAGGTAGCTATCAAAGCTGCACAAACATCAAAACTTTTAACAAAATTTAACTGGCTTACTACATACAAATATATTTGTTTTATACATTCCCTAACATTTGAACATCATTGTCTCATGATACATGTTATTCCAAAATTTTAAATTGCATGTAACTAAATTTTAGTTTATCTAAATATGGTTTTCTGCCATTGTATTGATTTTGTTAACTTTTGTATTATTATTTTAAAATAGATACTTTCTTAAAATCTAGTTCTTTTCAAAGCATCATCAATAATTGCTCCTTTTCCATTTGAAAGCTCTTCTCAGTACATGTCTTCTTGTGGAACTTTGATATTAAATAGACAGTAAAATGCCAATAAACATTTTCAATTAATTTCTATCAGGAGTGAATATCTGATCATTTTTTTCTTTTGGCCTGGAATAAATGATACTCCGAGAAAGAATTTTATCAACACAATAAATACTTAAAGATATCATCAATGCATCTTGCAGTGCATCTTTTTTGCCTTGATGATTACAGAAATTTCCCTGCTGGTTTCCAGAATAAATTGATGATAATGACATCTTCTGAAGCAATTGCATAAATTGTAGTGAATTTTTTTCTGGTAACAAATATTTCATAAATCCCAGTTACATCATCAATGGAATCATTTTGTTTTTATTCAAATCGAAGATGATTTGAATAAAAACAAAATGATTCCATTGATTGGTCAATTCATCTTGCTGATAGAATTATGACAACTTCCATGTTCTCCATCTGTTCATTATTGCTTAGCTCTTCAAGAATCCTCATAATCTCCATCCTCAGAGTTTTTTGTAGTGGATTTTTTTCAAGTAGGTTTGAATATTCTAGCTACTGAGTAGAGTAGCAGAGTGCTGAAATCACCAATGAAGCATCAACTTCAAGAGGTTAATGAACATTTATGAAAAAGCTACATTTGATATAAAGTAAAGAAATAGGCCAGTGGAGTCTTAATTGACAAAGTTTTGTTTCGCACAGGGCTGAAAGTATGGGCACTCACTGAAGATTGAACATTACTCAGTAATAATGGTCAGCGGGATGTCCACTATTACCCTATCCTGAGGTAGCCTTAATAAATGTAGCTTAGTTTTGTCATACTGTCACATATGTACAGCATTCAATTATGATTGAACTTACCACTCAGTAGTTATGGTTAAGCAGATGAGCTCATTACTCCACAAAGAAATCAATTGTTACCCCACAACTAAGTACTCAAATGTATCAGTAGAGTTAATAGCAATCCTAAAGAGAAAGAAGAAACTGGCCTTAGTGACAGGCCCCACAGTGGCAGGTCTATGAATGAGGATAAGGCCAAACAGGCAGATGTCCTTATTATAGTGAGAGAAGAATCACTATTGTACAACTCTAGCCTTCAAGTGAGCTATGATAGTGCCTTCAGTTTAGTGTAGTATCTTGGCCAAAGGTCTGTCTAAAAGGGATCACCATAATGCTGACAAACTCTAAGGATCAGAGATAATGAGGTGAAACGTAATTTGAACATGGCTAATACAGTGACCACAAAACTATCTGAGACAGGTATACATGTCCTTATTGAAAAATAGAACACCTTGGTACATTTATGGCATTTTGAAGAAAGAAAGAGACAATGTTAAGGACTAGATTTGGAAACCCTAGATGTCTGGGTTCATTTTTACATGTTTTGTATGTTTCGAATACATCAGTTGTAATTAAAGAAAAACAAATATTGTTATTTGAACAACCGCCACGTGTTATTTTGTTCATATACAGCAACAAACAAATGAAAACGTGTTAGCAAATCTTAAGCTCTAGTCTATGCAAGGTCTTGAGTTCAATCTCTGGACCAAAAAACAGAATAGCAACATTGAAATGCAAGAATATGTTTGTCTAACATGAAGAGAATATACAATAAGAAAAGAAATTATGTTGATGTACTTGGAAAAAATGTTCAGAAATGAAAAGGTTCCCAGATAAATACCTGACACAAACATGCCAATGTTCCTTAAACATGTGATTGTTAGTGTTAACATCCTTCGATGCCCAGACGTTGGAACTGACCCTATACTCCAAACAGCTTTTCCGTTTTAGTGTCATTGTTTTCGACAAAAGTTTTTATTTACGTTTGTGTTGCGTTGGAGGGTACATTTAAAAAATTCCTGCTTACAATTTCGAGACTATATAGTCATTGGAGTTTATGACTGTGAAATTATAAAACAATGCTACTAAAACTCGTTTGAATGGACCACTAATCAATATTTAATATTTCAGATAGAAAACAAAAATAATGGGTCTCACTTTTACATTATGTACATTTCACCAGTTGAAATAAATCAAACGCATCATAAATCTAAAGAATATACATTTTTGGAAAACAAGGAGTATATATCTTCAGCTTGTCATCACTTAGTTAAAAATAAAACAAAATAGCTTCTGTTTTTTTTATTCATTCAAATCACATGCTCACGCAAATTAAACGAAGAAATAACACATGCACAACATCTATCGTAAAAGAAATCTATTAATTAAAGTAAAATAAAAAATACAAGTTATTAAAATCACAAAATAAAATTAAAAAAAACATTCTTTCTTACTAGACTATGAATTGGCACAGATTTTGTGTATGCACAATTTATTCTGCGTAGTAACATTTTTGCAGCTGCTCAGTTAATGTTTACATACAAATGTAGCGAAACGGATGATAGCATTTCGTTATTACATAGACTGAATTAAGTCCACGTTTTCAGATTTTAAGGAAAGAAAACAAAATAAAATATAAAATTAAAGGAAACGAGGTTTAACAAAACAAAATGCTCTCATAATTCTTATTTTAAATTTCAACTGTAATTCAATTTCTTTTAAAACGTAATTTCTTGAACTTACAAAACAGCATCTTTTTTTTTTCAGTTTGACAATATCATTTTAGATGTTTTTACAAAGCCAAATATTTGTAATTTGTGAAAAATCATTTCTTAAATAAAAAATGGACTGTAATAATTAAGAAGCTAGGAAACCAAAATGTAAACAAAGGCTCATATGAAAAATCCCTCCAAAAATCATAGATGAAATGTTACAACGAATGAAAAAATGTATTAAGATTTCTATAGAAAATTAAACTTTTTGTTTTCATTTTGTTTTTGGGGGGTTAATATTTTAGAGATCAAAGTCAGCAAAGAGCATAAAACTTTCTTCATAAGTAGCATTAAAAAAAAAAATCATCAATGACAATAATATTATTAAATTAATACTCAATCATTTTTTTTTTTGTATCAAAATTTTAAATAATTTCAAACAATAAAAGCATAGATCATTGGAATAGAGAAACATTAAACATTTTTTATTCAATAAAAATTGTATATCGCCAAATAAATTATTTTTTAAGACTAATTATATTTCCTAAAAATATGAAAAGGGATGCTTGATAAAAATATAATAGTAATTTTAAGAGAAGAGTACAAAAACATTGAACAACTGCGAAATACGATGGATGAAGTATTAGTACGTACTTTTTTGACGTCGTATTGAATGTTCAAATAAAAAATCTTCTCATGGATACAACACAAAATGCATATTAGATCAACTTAAAAAAAAAAACAGTGAAATACAACCAAAGAAGAAATCATATAGGTATCCATAGGTAATTTTTTTCTTCTTTACACAAAACTTCCGGGGAAACCCCTTTGACAAGTAACGAATTCGCGCTGAAGTGAAAGCTCGCTTCTGATTGGTTAAAATTAAAACAGGCGCCATTGAAAACTTTTGTAGAGAAATATAGTATTTCTGTTTCGTATCAGCATTTTTCCCACGGCATTCTGAAACTAAACTCTAATTTACAATATTCAGTTATTTATAAATAAATAATCATTTTTCATAATACCCTTAATACATATTTCTTAGACTGTCTTTTCCCCCTCCAAACTGATTTTCAAAGCCAAAAAACTAAAAAAATAGTATTGTAAAGCAGAAAGCTACATCGGAAGCGTTGGGTTCGTAAAGCTAATTCACTCGGCATATAACTCAAAAAGAAAAATGTCATGAATCTAAGCTTCCCGTCTCCTACTTGGAATTATGCAATGTGACAGACTAATTTCCGCTGCATCATTTTTTTGTTTATGCAAAAAGGAAAGCACAGACCGACTAAATTTGAATATTCACTTTTAATTTTCTAACCAATAGAAACACTTGTGCGAATGATAATCTTTTAGTCTAACTAGGTTACTGAATTAAAAAGTAGAACTTAGAATTCAGTCATAGATATTTTATCCATTAAAAGTTATCATAATTGCAGTAATATTTTTCTTAGATTGAAATTGTCTCTTTTCTGTTTCTAATAATAGCATAACAAAATTTTAAAATGCTTGTGGGAAATTTGTGCTGGTTTTCCGACATGAAAGGGTTAAGGTTAAAAGTGCAACAAAGTTGAAAAAAAGCAACAACAGCTTGAAAGGTTAGAGAGGACAATTCTCTATTTTTAGGTGGCTCTTTCAAGTGAAAGAATAGACTCAAACCCTTGCTGGGTGTGTAACAATAAAGGAAGAAAATGTTTATTTTTAAGACATGCACACAAAAAAAGGGTATAAGGATATATATAATTATGAGAGAAAGAAAGGGAGAAGAAAATTCATTGTGGAATCTTCCACATTAGCCTTCCACCCCTTTCGAAGAGATGTATTCTTCCCTAAAAAAAGCCTTAACCAATCACCACTTCGTTTCAGTAAATTCAATCTTCTATTGGTTAAGAAACACTAAACTGTAGCAAAGTCAAAACAGATTCTTTTTCCTGCCGAAGCCCCCTGGAGACGATTTTTAGACACCAAAGTCTATATAAACAACCACATGACTCAATTCAAGTCAGTCAGTCATCAAGTTTTGTGAGATGCTACAAAACTCCATGCGTGTCAATTCACTGACTCAACATCACTTCAAAATTCTTAACAAGCTCAACACAGCACTCAATTGACCCTTTTCCGCATGGTAATCAAATTACAATTGACTTAAAAAGTGAACGTTTTCACTACACAAACAGTAATTGTACAATTCATCAATTTAGCCAAACGGTTAAAGGCAAACAACTCTTCACAACTTAAATTCTAACAAGTAACACATGCTTACACACTAATATTTGAATGAACACATTTGAGATTTTTCCTTGTAGAATCCAAATTATTTTTAATTTCATTAACAAATCAAAACCATTAACTTTTATTGACCAAATTTCTGCATGAACATTTTTCATAACCTTGTCTCAATTGCCACAATCAACAAACATTCTTTTATTCTTGCATGTATATCTATTGTATATATAAAAATTTCTTAATTTTGGAGCTCTAACCACTGTGTTTTTAGTAATTTCTTGCAATGCAAATTGTCCTTATATTCTTTATTTGATCTACATGTTGTGGGATAATGCATAATAATCATGCATAAACTTTGCCTTACATAAATTACCTTCTGATACATTTTCACTCAGCTACAACCTGCAACATCCTTTAACTTTAAAGGAAGAAAAAATGCTTATAAAAAAAGGCTTGCTCAAAATATTTTTCTGAGTGTCTAAAAAAGTTCTTTAAGCGAGTAGTAGATTGTTGTTAAAGGTTAAAACACTCACAGATATGTTCAGAGTTCTTGTATAGGAGAAAACTGTCGGAAGATATGAATTTCATAGTTGAATGAGTTCGTAGGCCAGCAACAGATTTCTTCTAGGTACAAGAAGGCAGATCACAGTTTGTTTTTAGTAGTGGGCCGATGTTCTTTCTTGACAGACCATAGAGGTAGTTCTCTCTTGAAGATGACTGCTTTTCTGCCATCGACCTTACAGGCGGTTGTCGATTACCCACTGCCAAACATGCATAAATTATCCGTATTTATGAAGATTAGGAGGCTCAGAAAATATCAGAAACAGTTTCCTTCAAAAATTGCTATACAAATTTCCTGGCCATTTCATTTGTTAGAAGATATATTCTTATCTCTGATAAGAATCAGGCTTTGGGGGCCAGCAATGGTCTGACAAGCTGTGAGTGCCTCTCCCAGACTTCATGGTTTAGCATCCCGCTACCACCTTCTTATCAATGTTTCAATTTTGTACAAATCTGTGCAAAAAGGGGATCAAAGAGCTTACCCAGCTTCATCCAGATTTTCAGGAAATATCAGCTTCTAATTGGTCAATAAACACACAAGTAGGCATTGCAATCTACCCGTGTACAAATATTTTTCCATCGTGTGACCAAGTCAAGTTTTCCCACTCTTTTTCTGGGAGCCTGTCACATGGTTAGATTAATTACAAATAGCAGACATGAGCTTGTTCTCTCTCTTCTTCTTGCTACAAGATGTAGTTATAAAAAGGATTTGTGTCTTGACCATGTGCGGTCAGACACCCATGAAAATATAGTCATGCATGCATGTACGTACAAAATTTTCCAAACTACATTACAAACATATGAAACATTTCCAAACAAGCAACAAGAACTTTTCTCTTTGAAATACTCTTCTAAAGCTAAAAGTTTATTCAGCATTTCTCAGCTTTATAATTCATTCAACTTTTGTGAGCTTAGATAAAAATATTTCAATTTCATCAGTAAAACTTGAATTCAGTCAAAGGGACATAACCCGAACAAAATAGTAACCTCTAAGCATGTACATCATTAAAACAAAAAATAAATATAAATCTTCTTGTTATAAAACCGCTTTTGTTCCTTCTTATTGTTTCATATTTTGTAGTATCTACAAATAGTCAAATGTATTAACAAACCTCAACAATGGCACCATGGACATGATAATGATGTTCAAACTCCTTTTTATATTTTCCAGATATCTCATTTGTCAGAAAATATATTCTTATCTCTGGTAAGAATCAAGACTTTGGGAGCCGGATTTGAAAATAGGGAAAATAAGTTGGAATGAGAATTAGAAAAGAGGCTTGAATGTGAACCTGTAATATATTGTAGTCATGGTTTTCAAATTAAATTCTAATACTTTTCCCTCAAAAAAATATGGCTGAAACTTAAGTTTGTTGTGTAGAATTTTAATTCTACATCATTTCAATAGCTAAAAATAACTTGTTCAATTTTGTGCAAATCTGTGCAAAAAGCAGATCACAGAGCTTATTCAGCTTCATACATATTTTCAGAAAACCTCAACTTCTAATTGGTCAGTAAACACACAAGTAGGCGTTACAATCCACCCACGTACAAGTCTTTTTCCAGCACATGACCAAGTCAAAATTTCCTGCTTCTTTTCTAGGAACCTACCACGTGATTACATTGATTATAAATACCAGACACAAGTTTATTCTCTTTCTCTCTCTTGATTTCTCTCGCTACTAATGTAGTTGTAAAAGAAATCATGTCTCGACCCTTTGCGGGTGGATGCCATGAAAGCATATTCACACGCACACACACATACACATACATACAAAACTTTTCAAACTTCATTACAAAGTAACATATTACAAGCAACAAAACTTAATTACATAACATTACAAGCAATGGAAACTTAATTACAAACATTATGGAACATTCACTCCTTCAACTCTTCTAAAGCTAAAAGTTTACTCAACATTTTCTCAGCTTTACAGAAATCTTTCAACTCTCTCACAGTGAACATTTGAGTGGCAAGTTCATTCAACCTTTTATGAGCTCAGATAAAAAAGTATTCCATTAGTACAAACTTTAAATCCAGTCAAAGGGAAGTAACCCCTATGGTTGTCCATCATTATACGAATATAAATATAAATCTTGTTGTTAAACTGTTTTGTGTTTATTCTTGTTGTTTCTCTTGTTGCTTTTGTGTTTGCTTGCACCTTCGTAAAGTAAGAAATATATGGGTTGATTTAGGCCGTCAATACCGCTACAGTTACAGAAACAAAATCCCATTTTTCTACCCCGAAGATTGCTCACATGGAGTAAGATATGGATGAAATAATCCAATTATAACCAATTAATTTGAAAATACATTTATTTTAGAAGCATTTGAGAAAAAACCTTATATAAGGCATAAGGTTTAATTTTATATGAATAACCAATCCCACCTGGAAAAAATATAGAAATAATTTTACTACTAAACTTATTTTAAAAGAGAAAATCAAATTAATCACACATTTGAATCCCAAAGTTCTTTGACTTTATGGGCCTAAAATTAGGAAATTTTAAAACTAGCTTTCAACGAGCAAGTACATTTACTGAATTTTTATAAAAGGTGACTTAATGACAACACATAAGTTTTAAGTCTAACCTATCCCACCAGAGAAAGGAATATATACACTGAATGTAAGTTTTCAATTAAACTTATAACATATTCAGACACCAAATTTCTTTGACTTTGTGGGTCTAAAATGAGGAAACAATACCAGCCTGAAATTCTATGATTCTGGAGGCCTTAGGGTGTATGGAAACCTATGATCAAAGTTAATCAAAATTTTTAAATTTGCTTCCAACGAGCAAGTACATTTTCCAAAATTTTATTAAAGGGAACTTACTAACAATGTGTAAGTTTTAATTTAAGTAATCTAACCTATCCTGCCAGAGAAAGGATAAAATTGAATGTAAGTTTACAATTAAAATTAAACTTTACTTAATATATTTT